GACACAATTTTATGGATAACAACTTCAAGCAAGACTGAATGAGGGACATAGTACAGAATATATATAGTAGGTGGAGGATTAACAGTAGAGGATTAACAGTAACAGTAACAACAATTGCATACATACCCTCATTCAGTCTTGCTTGACAACGGTATAAGGATCTATACCGAAACGTCGCTTTTCACAGTATTAAAGAAGTTGTTATCCATAAAGTTGTGTCTACCATGAATGTGTTTTGTCTACAACTTTATACTAATAATAAAACGCATTGTACATCGGGATACTGATGTGGGTATTCTGGTTGGTCCTTTTAATGTTGGCATTACAGTCTCCATGGATGTATATTCTTGTTTCTATCACCAAGGGGCGGTCGGGTAGCCTAGTGGTTAAAGCGTTCGCTCGTCACGCCGAAGACCCGGGTTCGATTCCCGACATGGGTACAATGTGTGAAGCCCTTTTCTGGTATCCCCCGCCGTTATATTGCTGAAATATTGCTAAAAGCGGCGTAAAACCATCCTCACTCACTCACTCTCACCAAAAATATTGAAATGTTTTGTACCTCCAGTTACTCATTTAAAGTTGCATGCAAATATCCCTAGTAATCAAAGTTATAAGTTAGCTCACGGTGTACGTGTTTGAAAAACATGATTCCCGATTGTCGAGAGGAATATCCGCATAACTCTACATTTCTTAAAAGTGACGGTGACAGGGCCGTTGGTCCTATAATTTGTTTGAAGGATGGAGAGTTATGTCGAACATCCCTTAGGATATACCACGGCAAGGGGACACCGGAAATGGGCTTCACACATTGTATCATGTGGGGAAAAGAACCCGAGCATTCGGCGTGCAAGCTGACGCTTTAAGGCCAGGTTCACACAGTACCGATCATGTCTCCGTTTGAGATCAGACAGAGCTACGACACGAAAAGTGAAAAAGTTGGATTAATTTCCTCAATGATCTGGAATGTCCTATCATGCATTGTCTGAACGCAGTCGTATACGTACGTTAAAGATCGGAAAGGTTCAGATAGATCGACCAAGCACTCCCGACAGTATGGCGTGGTCCGTAACATTCCGGAAACTCAGCCGATTTTGTCTCGTCGGATTACAATCGTGACGATGTCGTGACAGATTCTGCTGTATCGGATCAAAATCGTAACAATGTCCTGTGTTGTCTGGACGGTTGCCTGTTGATCGTGACGCTGTCGTGATGAACGGGCATGATTTGGATAAATTGTTCATTGCCGTTTCTTGTCGATGAAGTCCAGATTGCGTCCAGATCTTGCCGAATGCGAACCGTCTTTGTCGGTTCACTGTCGGATCGCATTCGGGAGAATCGGGACGCTGTCGGGACGGATTCGGTCGTTTTTTACCATGCGGAAGATACAAATCGGATCAGATTCGTATTGGGAACGGGAGAATCGGGACTATTTTGGAAACGATTGAATCGGGACGCTTCCTGAACAATACCTGATTGTTGACGTGATTAAATAAATGTTTTACAAATTTGTGAAATTCCCGCAACGAATCACAGGACCTTGATCAGACCTTTGACACATTTTAATCGGGGAAGGTCTTATCAAGGACGGCAGTAAAAATCCTGAACGTGTGACTGAGCCCTTAAGTATTTAAAAATAAACCAGAACTCTTTGTAGTCTCAATTTACGCTTAGATAGTCGTCCGTTTGGTGCTCGTCGAATGTTTAATGCTGCTGATACGAGTGGGTCTTTAAAATGTATCTAACAATGGTCTTCACAATGTGGCGCACTCAAAAAGCATCATCACTTGCACATCTTTAAAAAAAAAAATCAAGACTGGAAAAGGTAAACTTGCTCGTTCTTCGTTTTTCTCATTCACCTACTTCAACATGCCATGCGTTGTTCCTTAACAAAACATTAATTGCTCTTGCCTAACTAATATCTTCCAATGTCCTTCTCCTCGCATGTTGAGTAGGACATGCTTACATTTTTCGCGAATTTTACACACACACACACACACACACACACACATTTGGCCACAGTTAACATTATGTAACTGCATAATATTATTTCATAGCCTTAACAAGGACTACACTATAAGTTGTAGCAGGATCACTCGGGGTACATGGGGGTTTATAGTACGAGCCGGAGGCAAGTGGTTACGAGGGACGCATAAAACCCCAAGTGATCGTGCTACATCTAATTTATCTTACAAACATGTTTTTATATGATATTGTATCAGAATTCAAACAAATTCAAAACTGATTGAAAACAGCTGTTCGATTGAGCTGAGGTTAGCTTGCGCTGTCGCGTGCGGCTTTTTGCTTTGAGGCGGGGTATACGGGATTTATTCTGTCTCTCAGAAATCAACGTGCAGCCTGATTTGTTCGTAGCGGGGTATAAGAGATTTATTCCCCCGCTGAGAAATGTAGTCCCTTCCAAGGCGGGTCACGCAGAATTTTATCAAGATCACGTGGACCAATTAGACGGCGGCCTGTAAATAGGGTGTAAATAGTCGAGTTTTGATCAGACACAAAAGCATGATTGATCCCCGTTTACGCCTAATTTTTCCCAACTAAATTTGCAATCTGTCACACCTTTTTTCAGAATATGAAACAATTTCATTTGAAAAGTTTTGATTAAATATAATGTACGCATTGGGTGTGGGAGTTTGGTGAAACGCCGCTTTGAACAGTATTTCAGTTATATCAAATACCACATCAATCTGAAATAGGTTTATAATTACAAGCGCGACGACCAACACCACCACTATCCACGCTTAGAGGTTTATGAAAGGCGACATGTCATCCGCCAGATATCACTTATATATTCACCCTGGGAAGTAATTGCATTGCCAGTGCTCTGATTTATCTTTGAAATTGTTGACTGCCCGCCTCACGTCTGAACAATCGATGTTACCAGTCATTGGTCGAGGAAGTTAACAGCGAGCACAACTTGCACGTGCCACATGCGGAGTCCGTGCTAAACGTGCTATTCGTGGAAATCGCGAGCTCGCTTATCTCGTCTGTCATATGCCAGTCTCATTTCTCAGGTGAATAGCCTGGAAATGAATTTAACCCTTGCCGTGAGGTTTTTGTTACTTCAAACGGCATGACAGTTAAAAAACAATAAATTTTCTTCGTATTGTCTGAAAACGTTATAGACGATTATATCTGTTTGAAGAATGTTTGATATTGAGGTTTTTTCAAAAGTCAATTCAGATGAATGTCTGGTGTTAAAATGTAACGGGTTAACCTTGAATATCGATCAGGTATATTGTGATATATGTACACGAGTCAAGTTGGAACATTAACTTTTCTGGGGTGACTGGAAAATGATTATAATTTTAAAATCAAATAAGTTTCATACCATTTACAAACATAAAAGAGCGGTGGGGTAGCCTAGTGGTTAAAGCATTCTTTTGTCATGTGGAAGACCTGGGTTTTATTTCCCACTTGGGTCTTATATGCGAAGCTCATTTCTGGTGTCCACGATGATGGTGCTGAAATATTGTCAAAAGGGGTGTAAAACCATTCTAACTCACAACAAATATAAGTTAATGACTTACTCCATATTAAAATTGGTCTTCATGTCATGGTATCAAATTGCATAGATAGAGTCTTATGATGTCAAACACTGGATTGTCTGGTTCAGACTCGATTATGTGTAGATGGCTGTCATATTGCTGAATGCAGGGTTACACAACAAACAAACAAACAAACAAAACTCTCACCTTGTTGGATATGTTGTTAACTCTGATCTCATAATAAGACACCAGGTGGCCACCAATCCAAGTTGAAGCCATACTCAGCTGTTATTGTGTCTACCTGATCTACATTTCAGATATTTTAATTTGAAAAGAACAGTATTTATTCAACCTAAAAAATGAAACTTTATGATAATAAGCTTCTAGGCTTCTCCATATGTTATCAACAACAACACAGTCACCTGATTTGATCGCTTGTATTCATGTTCAAAAAGTATGTTTCATATATACATATTTACAGAATAACATCCTGTTATTTCACTATTCTTCAGCAATCAGAAAAAATCTGAATTCATTAAATATCCATTTTTCATCTGAAGAAGTAAATACAACAGCAACAGCATCCCTGTCATACAAACCTAAGTTAATGGCCATGCATGATGAATCAGTTGAATGAGGGAGTTCATTTGTTCCCCTCAAACTACAGTAAACTGTAAATACCAAGCAAAATATACTCATAAATTACATGAAACGGCATCATGAAAATATAAAGAATGCCTGTTCATGTCATATGACTATAGTTAATCTGTCATGGCCGTAGCAGATTATACCCGTGAAGATCCGGGTTAGAATAGGTCTTCAGCAACCCATGCTTGTCGTAAGAAGCCACTATGCTTGTAGTAAGAGGTGACAAACGGGATCGGGCTCGCTGACTTGGTTGATGTATGTCATCATATCCCAATTACATGGATAGATGCTCATGATGTCAATCACTGGATTATTGTCTGGTCAAGACTGGTCTGGTCTGGTTCAGCAGTTTATTTACAGACTGCTGTTATCTAGCTGGAATATTGCTGAGTGCAGCGTTTAACAACAAACATACAAACAAACAATATGACAGATTAACTATAGTCATATGAAAAAAACAGGCGCTCTTCAACTTCTTTTGAGTAGTATATCATCTACAATCAGCACCAGAGTTCATTTAGTGTATACAGAAAAACATAAAAGATCACATTAAACCTGAGGCCGCTCATGACTGGCATTGGCTGACATTTGACAATTTCATTAAGATGTGTAATTCAACACAAGGTACCGTATTCGACGTAATAAGCGCCCCGCTGCAATAAGCACCCACGGCGATAATTGCTTATATATAGGCTATTGAACAATCCCAATTAGCACCCCTTCCGATTGATCAATGTATACAAGACTTATTCATTCGTGTATAATACGCACCCGTGTGTTATATGCACCCTTAATTATGGGCAATTAAATTCTGGAAAAATATATCTGTCATATACAACATTTCAGGCTGTCAGCATGAACCACGAAATTTATCTTTCAACTCTGCTTTCTCCACCAAAATAATATTCTAATAAGAGACCCCTATTTCTAATTTTGAGAGCGCTCTGGGCGCTTATTACGTCGTATACGGTATAGCTGTGTAAGACCTCAATGGAGACCCGAGGGAGACCCAATTACTGAGGCCTACAGGATATATCAAGATAAACCCAGTGTCAGGTTATGGAACACAAGCTTTATCACGATATCTACAGGAATGTGGTTACATCCACAAGCTGTTGGGGCTGGTCTCAGTATTTGCTGTAATTCACAACTGAAGCAGTGTGCATCAGTAGAATAATCACATGGCATTCTTTGACAACTATTATCATGAAAATACAAAGAACATGTTCCGTGAAGGCTGGTGTCATCTTTCTCTATGTGGCATGTTTAGTTCTGTTCTAAGTATGTCTGACAATGTGATACCATGTTTCAATCAACCTATGACACCATGCCTCACTCACCCCACTACATTTAGTTTCACTCCATGACACAAGTCACACTCAGCCTATGACACAAGTCACACTCAATCCATGACACTACGTCTCCCTCCACGGCATAAGTCACGCTCCATGACACAAGTCACACTCATTCCATGACACAAGTCACACTCACTCCATGACACAAGTCACACTCAACCCATGACACTATGTCTCACTCCATGACACAAGTCACATGCAACCATGACACTACATCTCACTCCACGACACAAGTCACACTCAACCCATGACACTATGTCTCACTCCATGACACAAGTCACATGCAACCATGACACTACATCTCACTCCACGACACAAGTCACACTCAACCCATGACACTATGTCTCACTCCATGACACAAGTCACATGCAACCATGACACTACATCTCTCTCCACGACACAAGTCACACTCAACCCATGACACTATGTCTCACTCCATGACACAAGTCACATGCAACCATGACACTACATCTCTCTCCATGACACAAGTCACACTCAACCCATGACACTACGTCTCGATCCATGACACAAGTCACATGCAACCATGACACTACATCTCTCTCCATGACACAAGTCACACTCAACCCATGACACTACGTCTCGATCCATGACAAAAATCACACCCAACTATGACACTATATATATATATACGTCTCACTCCATGACACAAGTTACACTCAACCCATGACAGTATGTCTCAGTCAACCACTAGCACTATATCTCATTCTCACTCTTAAGCCTGTCAGCCCTGTTCTAATCTTGTTTGATTTATCTTATTTCATGCACACAAAAAATCCTGAAAAACGTAATAATCTTGTTACTGCAGCTTAAGTTTAGCCTATCCTGACAGAACAATTCTGTCACACAGTTCATCTCCATGTTATTTCAAGTGTATCTCTGCTAGAGTTCCCCAGCTGGCTCCAGCCTTCACCTTCACAGGGAGCTTCACCGAGAGTTTGGTGGCAGCCTCCATGTTTCTCTGTATCACCTGGCCTGCTAGAGTTACCTCCCCTTGGGAGACTTCGTATATCAGTTCATCATGCAGTTGCAACACAAGGAATGCTCCCCTGGGAATGCCACTGACCTGTGACGAGAGCCTGCATCCTTTCATGGGTGTATCTGTGGATGAGGGAGGGTTTGTTAATTATCTTGTGATTCTGATGGAGGAGATGTATTGACCATTTCCCCTGACAATTACTCCATCATGGGCTGGTAACAGTGGACTCCTGTCGGAGGTTGTTACAATAATAGCTCTCAGTATCTGATCTATGAGGTATTAATTGTTAACAAGGTAATCCCTCCCTTTGATGGGACTGTTTGACAAACACCCACTCCTGCAATTATCAGTGTGTGTGTATCTGTGTGCGGAACATTTGTATGATAACTTGTTTTGCTGTCACGCACACTGACCAGATTGCAGATTATTGGGACATTTTCACTGACAAATATCAATTTACTTCATGCTGATCAGCTTCTCTGTTTACTTGTTTGCCCAACAAACCAACCCAGTGTGGCAGAACACCCCTGATCATTTCAGAAGAATCCTTTGTTTGTTATATTGCAAACCCAAAATTTGAAAATATGACAATCTGACATCCATTGAGTGAAAGTGAATGATACTTAATATTGCTATATTAGTACAGTACAGTTTTGTGAACCAAACTTTTGCAAATATGGAATAAAATCACATTTTCAATTCATTTTACTTCTTCATGGTGAACCTTTTCAGAAATTTTAGTGTGAAGAACCCCTCTACAATAAAGGTAGTGCTATCATCTTTCAACGACAAGTTTTTTAAAGAAGAGTGAGTGAGTGAGTGAGTGAGTATGGTTTTATGCCGCTTTTAGCAATATTCCAGCAATATCACGGCGGGGGACACCAGAAATGGGCTTCACACATTGTGCCCATGTCGGGAATCGAACCCGGGTCTTCGGCGTGACAAGCGAACGCTTTAAACACTAGGCTACCCAACTGCCCCTTTTTAAAGAAGAGAAGGATAGAAATGTAATTTAAAAATTACGGCAAAAAAAGCAGGTATTCACTGTGAACATCAATGATTCCCTCCAAGCCGGTCACCAAAACCAATGCTACACAAGTTGCCTCCCGCAACAACAATGTATAACAGTACTGAAGAACGGCCTTGTAACAATTACAGATACACGGCTAACTGGTTGCAGACAATCAGTATGGGTCACAACACATGTGATCTCTGTCTGCTCACTATGGGGCAATTGTCCACAACACATACCCCACCAACAGACAAGCACCAAGGATTAGCAATCACCTGTCTACCTTGACACGCCCTGTGCAACCTTCTTCCCTGAAGAAGGCACTGGGCTAGTTAAGTATCCATCCACCCCACCCTATCTTATCCCTCCTATCCATGTGCAAAACACCCTATGTAACTGTCCACTCTGAGACAGGAGCCTATCTAGCTCCGCCTCCATCTGTACCCACCCCACCCCACCCCACCCACCCACCCACTATCAAGGAGGCTCAATCACCTGTCCACCTGCGACACGCCCTGTGTGACTGCCCACTCTGCGGCAGGACCATGGCTAGCTCCATCTCCACCTACCGACCCACCCACCCACTATCAAGGAGGATCAATCACCTGTCCACCTGCGACACGCCCTGTGTGACTGTCCACTCTGCGGCAGGACCCTGGCTAGCTCCATCTCCACCTGTATCATAGCAGCCTTGACAACATCTGCAGCTGAGCCCTGGACGGTGGTGTTGACAGCTTGACGTTCTGCCTGCAGGGACAGTATATACATCAACATCCAGCCTTTCCTTGTCATGCTTATCATGAAGACACAATAGTTCTTAAGTACTTGCATTTCCATATTGCAGAAAAAAAAACATCATTGTAAATTCAGATGGAAGGGCAGATGACAGACAATGCACCATGAAATAAACACACTTTAAATTCCAATTCACGTGAGCTAAAAGTCACATAATGTATCAGCACTTGTGATTTGTTTGTTGTTGAATGTCACACTCATAATACTCCAGCTATATAACAGAGGCCTGTAAATAATCAAGTCTGTGCCAGAAAAACCAGTGATTGATATCGTAAGCAATTTCCACGCTGTCAGGGTACAATGACACACAACCAAATCCTTGAGCCTGGCCACCCAAGATGACCACCCGAGCTGACCACCCGAACTAACCACCCGAGCTGACCACCCGAGCTGACCACCCGAGCTAACCACCTGAGCTGACAACCCGAGCTGACCACCCGAGCTGACCACCCGAGCTAACCACCCGAGCTGACAACCCGAGCTGACCACCCGAGCTAACCACCTGAGCTGACAACCCGAGCTGACCACCCGAGCTAACCACCCGAGCTGACAACCCGAGCTGACCACCCGAGCTCACCACCCGAGCTCACCACCTGAGCTCACCACCTGAGCTGACAACCCGAGCTAACCACCCGACCTGACCACCCGAGCTAACCACCTAAGCTAACCACCTGAGCAACCACCCGAGCTAACCACCTGACCTATCGAGTTGCCTTGTATGACATGCACAAGTGGCTGGGGGCCAAATCTAAGCAAAAATATTCAGAGGGGAATAAACAGAGACTGAATATGAGAGCTGAGTTCAAGGTTTCTTTTATTATTATTGAAGCAATATCATACTGAGGACGCCATGAATGGGCTTCACACATTGTACCCATGTGGGAAATCGAACTGGGCCATATAAAGCCACACATGAAAGAAAAGCCTACCCCTCTCCCCTCTAGTGTGTACCTGTGCCCTGGCATGTGGGTTGACGTCCTTGATGGCCGGGAGGTACCTCTTCCTGCCTGAGATGGTCTGGACGTAGCCATGTTGTCGACACGACTCCACGGTGGACCGCAGGTAGGTCCGCAGGCCTGCATAACAAACACGCTTGTATCACTTTAGGACATTTTGGATGACAATCAGTCAAAGTCCTAGATATAAACCAACCTGAAACCATGCTATAAGCACGTCTATACTTAGTGACTTGGCCTTAAACAGAATTTCTATCATAAACCAGCTAGGCATCTGAATGAGGGAGAAAAGATTTGTTTGTTTGTTGTTAAACTCAGCAATATTTCAGCTATATGACGGTGACCTGTAAATCTGAACCTGACAATCCAGTGATTGATATTGTGATCAATGATCGACACCATGGGGGTACGAGGACATGCTAACAGCCAAGTCACAGAACCTGTCCACAGATCCGTTAGGACGCCTTTAACAACCGGTATAGGTTGCTGGGGACCAATTCTAACCTGGGATCTCCAAGGGGCAGACATTTTTAAGTTTTTTATTGTGGCATTTGGTTTCTGTCAAACTAAAAGCAAATGAAGTAAGACGAGTTCTATGGATGAACAACTTCTTTATTACAATTAGTGCTCAGAAGTTGTTCATCCATAGAACTCGTCTTACTTCATCACCCCAACTTCTAAATGCCACTCAAAGAAGTTAAAAGCAAATGGCACCTTACTTCACAAGTATATAACACATGAACAAGATACGACCCACAAAACTTTCTATATCATTTTAACTTGCTGTAAAGTAAGACAAAGCTCTGCTGTGCTGTGCCCTTATGGATTGAAACCTACCCGGGTACTTGGCCTTGAACGTCTCCATGAAGACCGAGGCGTCATTCTCGTCCACTCCCAGCTGCTCCCCCAGTGCCTTGGGGCCGATGCCGTACAGCATGCCATAACACACCTGCAGTCAACAAGGAATGCATCCGTACAGTTCAATACAGAGCATCATAAGTCTGACCTCAGCACTATTCAAATAGATATTCTTAGCATATTTACCAGGACAAGCTGTTCTTACTTGATCATTGGAACATTTACAAAACACAGCCTTCCGCACTCAGCAATATTCTAGCTATATGATGGCATTCTGTAAATAATCAAGTTTGGACCAGACAATCCAGTGATTGATATCATGAGCATTGATCCACCATTGGCTTCAGACCAGTGGCATAAGTAGCAGAGTGTTAAAGGTTAGGGTCCTCTTCCACAAAGCTACCTTAACACTAAGACTGTCAAAGGTCTATGTTAAATTATGGGAGTTACGATCATCTTAGCACTAAGAACACTTTGTGAATATGAGGCGCTGATTTGAGCTAGAAATAATTTCATTTCTGTGACCTGTGTTTTTCAGTATATCCAGAACCAAAAACAGAAAAATCTGACAAATGTTGTAAAGAATGGCAATGTATATTTGGCCAGATGCACACACATGTATTTGGAAAGTTTTGAATATCTTCCATTCATGACTTGATAACAGGTTCATGTTAAAGACAGGCAGACTACCTCCATTGCTTATCCTAGCTTCACAATGTGTGCAGGAGAGAAACTGTTCAGTTGTTGTACTGATGAGAGGGCCTTTACAACCAAGCACAGTCTTTTAATTACATCATCTATCCCTTATCAGAGAATACAAGTTAACACACTGCTTCAGATTTCAAGTGCTATACCAGTTAAGGTTAACCAAAAAATGACAAGATTAAAAAAGACAAATTGTTTCTTAAACACTTTGCATTCATCTGGCATGATGTATGTTAAGTACACCTCCTTTTCCAAAAAGCTGTATCAATATATCAGAGAAGCATTCATAAAATCCCCTACAGACACATTGGAGTACCTGTTTAGCCTGAGCCCTCTCAACGCTGGTGATGTCGTCTGGTGAACAGTTCTTCCACTGGCCAGCAATCAGCTTGAACACATCGCCATCCTTGTTGAGGACAGCCATGAGCTTCCTGTCCTGTGACAAGTGGGCAATAATCCTCAGTTCCAGCTGGGAGTAGTCCGCAGCCAGCAGAACACCACCTGAGGGAAAGTGAGTGAGTGAGTGAGTTGGGTTTAACGCCGCTTTTAACAGTATTCCAGTTACATCCCTGTGTGTCAGCTTAATGTGGGAGGAAAGCCTGAAGTGATGCAGGTCTCAGACGTTTACCACTTTGGTGAAACCCACGAGCACGGGTATGGTGCTGACAAACCTAGACACAACTCGGGCCGAACCGGGATTCGAACCCACAATCATAGGTTTCTGGTGTGCCCATGGGACGCAACACTGCACAGCGAATCGTGGCGCCTTAGGGGACTGGGCTACCCTTACCCCCACCTCGGGGAGAGTGAGTGAGTATGGTTTTACACAGTTTTAGTAATATTCCCGCAATATCACGGCGGGGGACACCAGAAATGGGCTTCACACATTGTACCCATGTCAGGAATCGAACCCAGGTCTTCGGCGTGACTAGCGAACCCTTTAACCACTAGGCTACCCGACTACCCAACCTGGGTGAGACGATTGCTTGTTTATTTTATACTTCAGCATGAAAGATTGAGTTTTCTGAAGTTGAGAAAAGTGATATTTTCATTGCAGAGAATATAACATTTGATATTTCACTGCAGTGAACATAACACTTGATATTTCACTGCAGTAAACATAACACTTTGACGGAACTATTGTCATACAAGAGATACCTCCCTTAATTGTCTCCCAATATGATAACATCTGGCCCAAACACAAACTGTTGACACCCTTTTTATGCTGGTTCCACACTGACAAAGCAAACTAATGACAAATGGTCTTTTATGGAGTTAATATCACTTCTTGCTGTTTGTTATTCTCTCGAGAATGTTTTGTTATAAATTGTAAATTTTTCATTTAACTCATCAATCGAGACCAACGTGTATTCTTTCGCTTCAAACTGCAGTGTCCAAGTTTTCAAGAATCTTTTTCATTAAAATTGATTTTGTACATAATCATGTCTTAATGCATGATAATGAATTTCAATGACCTTAAAAATTTTTTGATACTTTTGTTTATATTTTTTAAGATTTTGCAAACACGAAACTACTTTTTGAGTCGCAAATACAAGGGGTGGTGAACCGACCCTGCTGTTAGGTAGGAAGAATTTACGTTTCAAGGTTTTACACGTGTAAAGAAATAATTTAATTTTCCCGCAGACAACTACACAAAAGTATACAATAAATAGGATATTCCATGTGTCTCGTGAAATATCATGTTTCTCTCATCTTGTGATGGGGGAAAAGGAGATATTTTCACTCATGGCTATGCCCTTCTCTTTTCTTTCACTCTTTCTTCCCCAAGAACATCCAGTGATTAACAACATCAGCAACAATCTATCCGGATATAATGACATGCATCAACCAAGTCACTGAGTCTGATCACCTGATCCATTAGGTTGCCTCTTACTATCAAGATGGATTACTGGGGGACATTTTCTAACCTGGATTCAGAAGAATGCATGTTTTATTTCACAATCAACTTCCATCAACAAGAACCAGTTTTCTGCAATGAGCTACCAGGTAACACTAAAATCTATTCTGGAGGACTACCAAATCATCAAAAATACAAGTCAACTTAAAGATCACAATTGTTTCCAAGGCTACTAAAGAGAACTAAACATAATGGTGAACTTTTGTTTAAACAAGGATATGCAATCAGAACTCGCTGGCACCCACCTTTAAATGGAATAAATGCATGTCTCATGCTAACAGCCACACTGACTGTCTGTGCTGCATCTGTTACCCTGGCAACTTGACGATTCACTCCCAGGACCTGCCTCAGCTTAGAGCTACCTCCCCTTGGTCTGAGTGTTGGCATGTTGGCGGCGTTGGCTGGTGGGCTCTCACCAATCAGGTCTGCACAAACAGGGATTCAAACTAGGGGTGAGAGGATGGTGTATCACTGCAGTCCACACATGGTCACATCTTGACCAGACAGGCAGGTGGTTGATGTGGTGAGAGAAAGTTCATGACATGGAGATGTGATGACACAATGATGACACACACAAAATGTTTTTCCCTGCTTTATATTATTATTTCAGCCCCGTACTTGTAAACAATTTAAATTCTAATCTTGAGTTTTTAAGGAAGTTAAACATGTATCCATTTAATCAAAAAGCATTTTCCTGTAGAGTGTTATATGTTGATTTTTGTATGTTTAATTTGAAACTGACATTCTCAACAATATCAAAATAATTTATAAGACTTCCCCTAAGATATGGGATTTTCACTTAATATTCTTTCAACTTGTTGACTGCTGATTATTTATTTAGATATACCAGACTATTTAAGGACCAGCCATTTATCATAGGGGATAGGGGTGGTTTCAGGGGGAATCAGGAATGTTGTACTTTTTAATGTAAGCAGTGGTGAGGAAGTTATTATACTTAGAAGCTAAAATTATCTGTAAACTTCCAGAATTGCAAGGATGGATGTCAAGCATTATAGAAACATGTGGAATATTCTGGACTGGTCTGGCACTGTGTAGAAAGTGCTGGAAGACTTGTCCCTGTCTCATCTCACATTTCATCTGACATTACATCAAAACCAGCCTTCATGTGAAGATCACTTCTCAGCCGAGATTCCCAGCCTGGGAAGCTTGACCACTGTTGCCGCGTGGTGATTATTATTCTTGTCATTTCCACTGCTGTTCTTACATTTCATACTGCCACTGCATTATGTACTGCCACTCTATTGTGTACTGCCAGTGTAATTGCTGTGTAGTAATTTTATTGATTTGTAACCCTAGTTAAATGTGTAATACAATTGTTGACTGTTTGTTGGCTTCACATCAAATTTGTTTGGGTTAACATATTGTTTCAGTTTGGGAAGGGACTTGTAACAACATGTCAAAAAAGCTTCACCGTCAACTATTCATAAGAAATAAGTCTACCTGGCATAGCAATTTCAAAATCTTTGGGGACGTTCTGCAGATTTGGTTCTGACATGGACACTCTCCCTGTTGAAGTGTGCAACTGACACTCCCCAAAGATGCGGAACATGTTCAGGTGAAGACAGGGGACCTTCTCCTTCTGTAGGGGGAACACTTGCTTGGTGAGGGCGTTGCAGATCCGTCTCCACTCCAGGATTACCCCGGGCAGAGGATGGAGCGGCTTCAGCTTCTCCAGGATGTCCTTGGAGGTGCTGTACGAGGCCTTCTGACGCCCTCGCTGACCGCGGTGACCCACTGTCCGTGTCACAGGGGCAGAGTTGGGGTCCCCATTGATGGGGAGTTGTAGCTCCACAAACAGAACCTGGGATTGGTCAGTAAATATGGTGATTGACAATAATTTCAACAATAAAAGCCCCCTGTAGGGCTCCAGGGCAGGAGCTATGCTCAGAGTAAAGAGTAAAACAAAACTCATTCACTCTGCAACATAGCTAGCACTTTAACACAAAATGAGTTATGTGAGGCGAAATGGGGTTTAACGTCGCATTTAAGATAATGGTGTGTGTGTGGCTTATTGTTCTAGGTTGGACTAATGCCAATTTTATATTGCTAGCCTACTGTGATATCATGACTGATTCTGATCCAAATGGTCCTCGTTTTATCCGAGTGGCAAGCAGAGAAACAACAAGTTTAATCTTTGTAAGTCTAATGGTATGACATGGATCAAACCACCAACCTTCCGTTCTCCAGGCATACGCTCTATCCACTAGACCACAGAGGCAAGTATATATTATAACATACAAGCAAACCATCTGCAGATATGGGATAAAGATAAATTGCATACTTTAAATTCTAAGTGAGCCTCACCTGCCCAACATCATCTGTTGCAGAGAGGGAGAAGGGGTGCTTGGCCAACTCATAGGCCTGGCTCTCAAGGGCAGTCAGCTTCGCCTCCATGACAGTCTTCTGGCTGTCACACTCAGTCTCACTGAAACCTGAAGCATGAAGTTGTCCAAATTTGTTTCAAATTACAAGAAACATCCAAGAGACACAGCATAAAAATCCATTATCGGTATTTTAAGACTGAAGGAGTTGTCTCCCTTCAATTAACTCAATACCTGTCTTCCTCTTAACACAAAAGTTTCGGCTTTTGATGAAACAACACAAGACTCAGGTGTAACAGAGACACAGGACACCAGCTGGAGGATTGGGCCAACATGGATGCAGCCAATTGTTAAAGGAAGGATGCATTTGTTGTTTGGGCAACTTTCCTTAGGTAATTGTGTAAAAAATAATATGTTTGTTTGTTTGTTTGCATATTTTTTGTTTAAAGCCGCACTCAGCAGTATTCCAGCTGTATCACAGCAGTCCGAAAACAAACAAATCTGGACCAGACAATCGAGTGATTGATATTATGAGCATCGATCCACACAATTGGGATACGACGACAGTCATCAGCCAAGTCAGCGAGGCTAACCACTCGATCCTGTAAGTCGCCTCTTACGACAAGCATAGTCACCTTTTACGGCATGCATGGGTTGCTGAAGACCTATTCTACCCCTGATCAGATAGTCATAGTGTTGTGAAATGTTTACTTTTAGTATACCCGATCCCCTTGAATGTTTCTGAATGTACAATGTTTCAAAACGAGGCTGTAACTGTATCTCTGTCTGGATCTGTAGGCAGATTGTAGGTGTCTTTTGGGGGATGAGAGAAAGTAGTATAACAATCTTTGCAGTAGTATTGTGGTAGCATGATGAATGCCTCTACCTTCCCACAGTGCAGACTTTCTGACATATCTGTCTAAGGTTCAGGACCCTCAGTGGGCATCTTCCCGAGGCAAGGGAGTTAACTGACTATAAAAGTCCAGTTTCCACCCTTGCCAAACTAGGCTGGTATTATGGAGTTACATTTTGGCTTGACTAACGAATCTATGCATAGTCCACTCATAATTGAGCAACGATCTCAAAATCCGGTTCGTAAACTGTCATGCAGATTTCAGTTGATTGCAGGATTTGCAAAGCAAACTCGTTGTCAACAGATATTTTGAAAATCTTTTCATGTTTTAAATCAAGGTGCTCACGTGATTTGATGCATTTTGCGATGTATGACATGTTTCATCACAATATAGACCTTGATTATCGATCAGATTGTGTTGACTGGGCACCGCAGGTTTGTTTGAAGCAAATGCAAGTGAAACGAGAGGTGGAATCTGATTGGTCTATAGGAGAAGCTTAGAAGGGGCATAACTCGTAATTGCCACTGGTGGTGCTATGATAGAGACCAGGAATTCCAGCCTAGTTTGGCAAGGGTGGAAACTGGACTTTTAAAGTCAGTTAACTCTCTTGCCTCGGGTAGATGCTCAGTGGGAGGTGTTGAGTTAACTCTTAGTAACTACAATAAAACATTTCACTCCTTTCTCATGTTTAATATATAACATCACTTTATAATATTTATTGGATTTCTATATAAATGTTTTGCAGTTTTATTTCGACATCACATATTTTCCCTGATTTGTATCTGTCTAGAAGACATAATGGATATTAAATCTTAAACACTCAACTAAAAGACATTTTATGAATGCTTCAATGTAATATAATGTTCTTAACACTGGAAGCTTGAGATATGTTGTAAACTATTAGTACTTTTGGCCATGTGATTTTTATACTGAACAAACACGTCCGAGTCTGAGCCTGATTCTGAACTTATAGACTGATGTATCTAGAGTTCTGCACATTCTGAATGGATACGCACCTCAATGCACACAAGGTCATCGGTGAAACATGTTTATTGAATTACATCTATCGAGTCTATTGACAGTCTAGTGGTTCCCATGTCTAATCTATATATTTTAGCTTATCATCATCTCTGTATGAGTCAAGGGCTGCATGCAAAAGATCAATCATCACTACTCTAGCATCTTCCATCTATGCCCAGCCAGAAACACTGGGACATTTATACCTCCTGGCTTCACAGGACAGTGTCCTGTTAACAGTTCCTCAGTGATGTAGACAATTGTCCTAGATATCACTAGATAGGTGGGGATGAAAAGTCTGTTTCAATTTAAGTTGTTGGAATAACATTAAGGAAAAGATAATCAATTACCCAGGATTATAACTATCTCATCATACATATCCATTGCAATAATTGTTATTGGAGAAAACAAGAGTCATCAGAAGATGACAAATCCCCTTGGCCCCTACAATAGCAAAAGACACCACTTCCGGCCCTTGTTAATACATGTACCAAGTTTGGATGAAAAATCTTTCACGGTTATCACAGAAATACAGACAAACAGACGGATAGACGAGATGATGACTATATCCTCCGCATAATATGCCGGGAGATAAAAAGCAGACCATTTTGGCAATTTAATTAAAGTGTCTCTAAAGCAACAGCATGTTTTGGTTTTGTGATAATATAAAGCCATAGTATTGCTGAAATACAATTACAGTGACATCCAATAATTGCTTCTCTGAGCACTCCAACAACCCAAGGTTATACAAGCACAAATGAAGGAAGGAATAGTCACTGTCTTACCAAATCCATTGAGCTCCATCCTGGCCATGGTAATGACGACTGGCATCTCAATGTCACAGAAGGCCTCTGTCAGCCCCTCGTCCCTCAGCCTCTCCATGAAGAAGGCCATGAGCCTCCTGGTGAGGACGCTCTCCACCGTGGCTCTGTACCGCCCGCTGCCCGGGGGTAGGGGGGCCAGCCCCACACTCCCCAGTCCCAGTCCCCCTCCTATATCTGCAATAACACATCATATGTGACCAACCATTGGATAAGGGACCTTAAAGGTGAAATATCACATATTGACTTCTCATTGTATTTTAATAGTTGCATCTTAGGACTTAGGAGGTAAAATGGGGTTTAACGTCGCGTCCAAGATTATTGCACTTATATAGCCCCTTAATGCCGAGCGCTAGACAGGGTAACAACAAGTACCATCTTTTAACGTCTCTTGGTATGACGCGGTCGGGGATTGAACCCCGGACCTTCCGCTCTCCGGGCAGATGCTCTACCACTAGACCACGGAGGCAGTCTTAGGACTTAGGAACACAAAAATACAATTCACAAGCTTCAATACAAGACATCAAACATTTGGATTCATTTCTGCAAAGTCTTATTTTCAGACTTATAACTGTTTATGTAATAATTGCAGTACTAAGATATAATGTTAGATTAATTGAACAAAGACATGTATGCTGAAATGTTTTGAAATAATCTTGTTATTACATTACAAACTAACAGGAGAAAAGATATATTTTTGTACAGTCCGCACACATGGCAATTTTCACGGAAGTTGACGTCAAATATGATCATACCTGACATTCAGATAGGTCAGTAAGTCTTGTGCATCATCAACATATTGGTGCACCAGGATAGTAACCTCAATGACACTGTGCTGGATATGTTTCATTCTATCCCAATGTATATAATTTCATCTACTGTTAAATATTCTCTGCTCAGATTGCCTACAAACTGATATTGTTTGACATGTTGGCTGTATCGTATGAGTCCGAGGACACTCAACTGATGAAGGGGCAAGAAGTGGCCCTGAAACATCATCACAAACAATACAGTAGCTGTTATTCACAAAGATGAACAAGCATTGGTATGGTGCTGAGATTATAGGTTTCTGGCATGTATAAGGGAGGTAAATCTGCACAGTGAAATGCTCGCTTAAAGACAACTGGGCCAAACCTGCCCCTGAGCAAGTCAAGATCCGGGTTGGAATAGGTTTTAGGCAACCCATGCTTCCTGTATGAGGCGTCTTACGGATTAATGCCTGTCATCGTATCCTGATTGCTTGGATTTGATGCTCATGATTTCAATCACTGGATTGTCTGGTCCAGACTTGATTATTTACAGACCGCCGTCATATAGCTGATATATTGCTGAGTGCGGGGTTAAACAACAAACAAACAAACAAACAAACAAACAAAAACAATGAGCAAATGGTTTTCTATGCTGCAGTTGACACCATTCAGCTCTATCATGGCAACTATTAAACAGGCCAGACCAACCACTGGTTAGTAGCATGAGCAAGGATCCACAGTATCTGGGCACCTGGCCCCAACTGAAACAGTTCCTGAACATATGCCAACCAAAGTTAACGACTATATCAACTTATTCCTGGGAACCTACTGTCAATCATGAAGACTTCCTGGGGCAGGTAGTTGGTGACCAGCCCCTGCATGTTCTGCTCCCTCGCCCCCGGGTCCAGCAGCCAGCTGGCGATACGGGGGTCCTGGACACGCCCCCCCAGACACAGGCCACACCCCCTAGCAAGGGTCGTGTACTGGGACTTGACATCATAGGCGATGAGAGACACTGAGTGAGTGTGACCATGTTCTAGCACTGACTTGATACTGCTCAGCTTCTCCTCCAATGAGAGACTGGCGTCTAAAGGGGGTGGGGCTAGGGTGTCGTCAGGGTCGCCTGGTAACATTTCAGAAAACTACTCATGCATATCAATCAGGAGCACATTTATAAGTCAAAAATAGATTAAATACAATAAATAGAGAGGTCATCACAGATTTGATGAAGTTATTAAACAAAGTGGCTGCAGTAAGTGAAAGAAAAAATGATTTGTATCATAAAATTTAAATCGCACAAAGTGACTCAAGTTGTTGTTATAAATATTGAAGAAAGTTAATGTTAGCCTGGTTTTTTTTTTAAATTTGGGAGTGAGAAAATACAAGATAACAAGATATTGATCATGAAAAGTATTCATACGCAGTTAAAAGTCTGGGATCCAATTCCATTTAACATTTTTCAACGAGTCAGTTTGGAGCACAGTTTTATCACCCCGTGATAAACATTTCGAGGTTGCATGATAAGAAAACATATTCTGATTGGTCTGATTGGTCAGATGAAAAATCGTTCTGACGTGACCTGTAATGGTATTTTCTCAGATCTTTGTTTTGCAGTCACAAGAACTAAGATCTGAATTTAATGAGGTTGATATACTTCTTATGATCCCCATGCCATGGAGCTGACAGTTTAACTTTAAGGGCATTGCTTGCACTTACTGATGTCACTGACAGTGGAGAAGGAGATGTAGTAGGCGTCCCTGTTCTCCCACGACACTGCCACACCCACGATGACACGGTCATCACCGTCCACCTCAACACCGGGAACAAGGGAGACAACAGACTTCCTGCTGTCTACACAGACATACAGCAATCAGATGTCATGCATTGTAGCTTTAATCCACATGATCAGGGACCATGTCTTTTTACTTTAATTAACATGATCTAGAATGGTTATGTAAATAAACAATTATCTCACACTATCTCAAAATGACTTGCTTTGGAATTTATCAAAATAAAAAGGCAAACAATCTTGTTCCCATTCCACAAAAGCAATCTTAGAGCTACGACTACCTTAACTCCTCAACATTCACACAGATTGCACAAAGATGTCTTCTTGGATTGAATCATGACAAAAGGGTATGAGTTTATGTATACTCATTTTGGTACATTGGCTTTTATTTAAGTGAACTAGTCGCATGACTTTCCTAGGTTATAATTTGGCCGGGTGTTTATCTACAGCATTTATTATACTTCTAAACATGAGTCTATTGCACTCTTCATATATTCAGAAAAAGTTGTCTCCCTTCTGATCAAAATGAGCAAACTTAACACAAATCACCATTTCATGCATGAGTGTTGGTGATATCTAGTCTACAGCAATAAGTGATAGCAAACGAGTGGGACAACTTTAAGACTTGACTAATTAAAATCATTATAAAAAAGAAATATTAACACCGCAGATTTATAGCATTTCAACATTCAACATCTCTACAGTACTCACTCTTGATGAAGTTTCCTCCAATGCCGACACCAGCCTGAGGTTGACAAGATGGCTTCTTCTCACATGCAACACACAGAGAGTATTCTCCCTTGCCCCGCCATTCTGTGACGAAACTCTCAAACAGTCTCCGATCTGCACACACATCAATGATAGTAAAGGACTCCTGTGTAAGCAGACTATCTGAGTCTCCTACCCCACTGGAATCTGAAGGTCGAAGATTTGATGTCACATCATCTCCTTCAGAATTATTTGATGAAGAAGCACCCATTACTCCAGACCCCTTCATCTTTCTGTCATGAGTTGCCCTAGCATCTCTATCACATCCTCCCGACATGTCTTTCATTCCAGAATTATTATCCCCCGTTAAAATATTCCTCACTGGACCTGAAGGCTTGTTCTTTGGAGTTGCAGATTTACCAGCCTGTGTCTTGAGGACGGAGGCACTGAGGGGTGCCTTCCTGCAGCTCCGCGCTGGTGTCGCCCTCAGACATGGTGACATGATCACCTTGTTCCCCTCAGGGGGTGTTGGTGGAAGGCAGTCACTGCCATTGCTGTCATTGTGAGAGGTACCCAGTCGAGGTGTCGATTCATCTTTCTTCTGCTTCCGACAGATATTTGGTGTAGAAGCCTGTGCCTCTACACTCTTCCTTTTCTTCTTGGGCAATGAATCACCTCTGGGTTTACAATCTGATTCAGCAGTTGTTTTGTTATCACAGTTCGAGTCCATATTATTCAATTGAGCATCGTTGTCATCAACAAGCTTTTCAACCATGGAATAGGTCAAAGAATGTCCGAAAATGTTATCTGGATCATCAAATTCCATTAATGGTGACCCTGCCAGTGACTTTCTATTATTCTTTTTCACAGCTTGCTTTGATTGAACCATAATACCTTCTTTATCACAATTACTTTTCTTGGACAACTCACGAGACTGACTAGTACTGATGTGGTGTGCCTCAATCATGACCTGTCTGACAATGTTTTGGACAACAGGAGTTTTCACAGTTTTGCTGTGACTCTTCCCAGCATCTTTTCCACTGTTGGGGAGAGAGCAAGAAAAGGAGTCTGTCATGTTGAGGGCAGCAGCCAGGTCCCCCTGCAGCAGCTGCTCATCATAGTCAGAGGACACAGGGCTGGGACGTTCTGAAGGAGGTTCCTCTGACCTCTCCTTAGTGTTCAAACAAATCTGTTTAGTCTTGTAAGGACCTCCAGGTTGTCCTGGTTCACCTCCTGTAGGAGGTCCCTCCGGCCTCTTCCTCGTGTTCAGACCAATCTTTAGCACCTTTTCAGCATCACAATGACCTCCATGACATCCTGGTCCAGTTCCTATAGGAAGTCCCTCTGGTCTCTCCTCAGTGTTCAGATCAACCTGTTCAACATTATCACAAGATCCTCTAGGACGTTCCGTTCTGTCTTCTGAAATCTCATCATGCTGCTTTACAAGATTCTGATCACACTGGTAGCCCTTAACAATGTCCTTGGTGACTGTGCTGTCCTGTGGCAGCTTGTCTGGAATCTTCAGTTCAGTGTAAGATGTCTCATCACAATCAAACATTGTGGAGTCCATAAACGCATCTTCCTGATAGGCTATCCTCTCATAGTTGCTGGCCGGGATCAGACCAGCAGATTCATCCATGTCACACAGTGGTGATGTTGGCCCACCAGAAACTCTTTTCCCATTGTCACGAGTCTCTGAAGATGGTTTAAGACTCTGGGTAGGTGGGCAGCTCTCAAGTTCCAGAATCAAAGCATCAGAACCACTAAAGTCCTTATCTCCTTCCTCACTATACATCACAGGACTTGTCTCCGCTGCTTGTTGAGCACCGATCACATTACAGGAGGGAACCCCTTTCTCCACCAACCCTTCACCCTGTCCATGGACAGAGCCACCATTCCCTTTGTCATGAGATTCAGAAGATGACGTATGGGTTGGTGGGCAGCTTTCCAACTGCAATATCAATGTATCCGAACCGCTGAAATCCTGACCCCCCTCTTCAGTGTACAATGAAGGGCTTGTCTCCGTTGCCAGAGCTCTAGTTTCGTTGCTAGATTTTGTTCGTTCTCTCACAGATCCTACACAACTTTGTCCATGAGGCATGCATCCATGACTTGGTGTGCCATGAGTGATGTTTGCTTTCCCTGATACAGCTCTAGCTGTCTGGGTGTCAAGGATGAAGCTATCTGTGAAATCTTCCCCAACACACTCAATCTCTGAGTTTACATGACTAGACGGAGAGTTTGCATGCTTACCACTGTTCTCTGGACTTGTGACGGGAGATTGTTGTGGCAGATTCGGAGAGTTTTTGACATCCAGAACCATCTGAGAGGTGAATGATTCTGTGAACAAATCTTCGGTTAAGTGGTCCTCATTTACACTTGGTCTTTTCTCTACTGTCACAACTGGTTCTAAAAGAATCATATTTGGAGACCTATCGATCGCCTCAAGAAAGACTGCAACAGGTTGTTCGTGGGAACTTGATTTTGAATCAGAAGAATCTAATGATTGTTTTTCGTTAGAAAGACGAATGTTACCTTTCTGTGGCTTTTGACAGTTTTGGTACTCAGGGTTAGTGCTTTGTTGCATTTTGCTAGGTGGTAAAATGTCCTGTGTTTTATTTGAAAGTTCATCCTTAGCATCAACGTTTACAGTGACACACATTTTCTCCTCATTATCCCCAGACATCCTCCTTGTCACCCCCTTGAGGGACTCATCACTGGTCATAACAACACTGGTCATAACAACACTGGAACTGCTCGCTCCACCAGACTTGGTGTCAGCCCTGCTTTGAGGAGCACTGAGAGGGCTTGCAGATGACAACTTACTGAAAGATGTCCTCAGTGCTGGTGGAGGACTAACAATCATACCAACATGGATCTTCTCTGTCTGTACCGTAGTACCTCTGCCCCTACCTGCCTCGGGAGAAATGCGATCACTTGAGATGCCTCCAGACCTGGGTGAGTTGTTCCTAGCAGGAGACATCAAAGAAGACCCTGTCCTTCTCTTTACCCTGTTTCGGGACCCTGAGCTTAGCCTGCCTCCTGACCTTGAACTTAGTCTACGACCTGACCCTGAACCATGCCGTCTGCTCTGGTTTAATGGTGTCTTTAATCCCTGATTCACAGACGAGCCATCAACACTGCTCTCATTGCGAGATCCTGGCCTGGTGACACACACCTTGACGTCAGCGTTCCCATCCTGCTCCTCTCTCACACTGGCGTCGGATGTTTCATCTGCCTCAGCTTCAGCTGCAGGACGTTGTTTCCACTGGATGCCGAGACCTCCCAGCTCCGCCTGGATGATGCTCTTGGCCTCGTCTATGATGGCGACCGCTGCCTCAGCCTCTGTTACCCCTTTCTTGCCACTGAGCCATATACTGCGAGCCTTCTTTCTTTGTTCCATCTCCCACTCACTTTCATTGTCTTGTCTCTTGGAACTGAAAACGTGAACAAAAAAAATCACATGGAATTTTCAAGTAAAAAAAACAAAAAACAGGATTTTCTATCAGAGAATATGGTGGGCACAGATTTGATCATAATTGAAGGACTGCCATGGTAACTAGCACAATGCTGACAGTTGCATGGATGGATGCACTCACACTGATGGCATACCTTTGAAATGGTGAGGATGTTTTAAGCAGATTCTCCACATCCTGTGGGTTGGTGTTCGCAAGGGAGGCAACTGTCTGGTAACCACCGTTGTACAGTTGGCGGGCACGTTGGCCATTGAGGAGGGAAATGCGGACCAGGTCACAGAGCTCGCGCTGGATGCCGAACGTCAGTCTGTTCTGGAACTGCGACAGGATCAGCTCCAGGTTGTACCATCCAAGACGGCCACAGAACACAGTCACCATACCTAGTCATGAAGAGACCAGTCATTATAGTGGGACGGAGTTACAGAACACAGTCACTATACCTAGTCATGAAGGGACCAGTCATTATGGTGGGAGGGAGTTACAGAACACAGTCACTATACCTAGTCATGAAGGGACCAGTCATTATGGTGGGAGGGAGTTACAGAACACAGTCACCATACCTAGTCATGAAGGGACCAGTCATTATGGTGGGAGGGAGTTACAGAACACAGTCACTATACCTAGTCATGAAGGGACCAGTCATTATGGTGGGAGGGAGTTACAGAACACAGTCACCATACCTAGTCATGAAGGGACCAGTCATTATGGTGGGAGGGAGTTACAGAACACAGTCACTATACCTAGTCATGAAGGGACCAGTCATTATAGTGGGATGGAGTTACAGAACACAGTCATCATACCTAGTCATGAAGGGACCAGTCATTATAGTGGGAGGGAGTTACAGAACACAGTCACTATACCTAGTCATGAAGGGACCAGTCATTATAGTGGGAGGGAGCCACAGAACAGTCACTATACCTAGTCATGAAGGGACCAGTCATTATGGTGGGAGGGAGTTACAGAACACAGTCACTATACCTAGTCATGAAGGGACCAGTCATTATAGTGGGATGGAGTTACAGATCACAGTCATCATACCTAGTCATGAAGGGACCAGTCATTATAGTGGGAGGGAGCCACAGAACAGTCACTATACCTAGTCATGAAGGGACCAGTCATTATAGTGGAAGGGAGCAACAGAACAATCTGAGGAAAGTATCTATTTTGTACAACCGTAATCGCAGGTTTATACTTAGGACCAGTTAGTCCATATCTTATTCTTATCGTTTTGGTATGATGTTTTACTCACATTCAAAAGATGTTTGATGGAGATAACAATTTGCTTCAAATAAGCTATTTCACCTGCGAAAGTCGCTGAGGACTGTTGCAGAGACTGTAGTTGACCTTTGTTGACGTTGTACTTCCTGGCGACCTCATTCAGGGGTACTTCCTGTACGAGATCCAGGAGAACTAGACTAGTGTAGAACCTTCGATGAATGGCAACGGACCGAGCCTGAGCAGCAGTCTTGGTGAGGATGCGTCCTCGGACTGCCTTGACGATGAAGCCCTCCTCCACGCCGACAAGTTCGGCCACACGGCGCCGGCTGGGGTGCATCTTCTCCCAGCTGCAGTAGAACTGGTACCAGTCAATGTTGGCCGACACCTCCCCGGAGTAGATGGGGGTCACCTGTCACCATCAACATATACACTGTAGGCTTCCAAACATCACATACTTTTGAATAACACTGCATGCAGCGATTTTCAGCTATATGATGTAGGCTGACAGTCTGGACCAGACAATCCAGTGATTGATATTACGAGCAATGACACACAATCAACCAAGTCACCAAGTCTGACCACCCAATCCACTAATTCACCTCTTAGTCCACATCTTATTCTTATTCTTTGCTTGGCAAACATGTCGAGTCCACACGTCAGATATACATGTATACAGATAGAGCATGACTCCATGTGCACTGTGTCACACTGCACCGATGTCCACTATTCAATGGAATGGATTCTTTCCTTCACACGGATTGCCTTAAGGCCCCAAACATGCTTGTGACATCAACTTTTCTTTACTTTGTTAATCAGGTGAGTCAATTTCACGAGGGTCAGCAGTTTTTCAGCCAAAATGCAACATCCTGTAAATAATCTCTTTTTAAGTATTTTGCAATATGTTATCATAAGGTGAGTGAGTGTGAGTTGTGTTTAACGCTGCTTTTAACAGTATTCCAGTTATATCATGGCGGTAAATCCCACGTGCACGGGAAAGGTGCTGACAAACCTAGAAACATAATCTGGGCGAACCAGGATTTGAACCCACAATCATAGGTTTCTGGCACGCCCAAGGGACGCAAGTTATCATAAGGACTAGAGGCTAAAACAGTTAGTTTCTATTGCTGATCATTTAAGACAAACCAGAGACTGAAGGCAACATGATACACCATCAGGCGTGATGCCAGGCTGACCCTGATCGCCTGATTCGCAATCAGCTTTTCAACATGATACACCATCAGGCGTTATGCAAGGCAGACCCTGATCGCCTGATTCGCAATCAGCTTTTCAACATGATACACCATCAGGCGTGATGCCAAGCAGACCCTGATCGCCTGATTCGCAATCAGCTTTTCAACATGATACACCATCAGGCGTGATGCCAGGCAGACCCTGATCGCCTGATTCCCAATCAGCTTTTCAACATGATACACCATCAGGCGTGATGCCAGGCAGACCCTGATTGCCTGATTCCCAATCAGCTTTTCAACATGATACACCATCAGGCGTGATGCCAGGCAGACCCTCATCACCTGATTCCAAATCAGCTTTTCAACATGATACACCATCAGGCATGATGCCAGGCAGACCCTGATCACCTGATTCCCAATCAGCTTTTCAACATGATACACCATCAGGCATGATGCCAGGCAGACCCTCATCACCTGATTCCCAATCAGCTTTTCAACATGACACACCATCAGGCGTGATGCCAGGCAGACCCTGATCGCCTGATTCCCAATCAGCTTTTCAACATGATACACCATCAGGCGTGATGCCAGGCAGACCCTGATCACCTGATTCCCAATCAGCTTTTCAACATGATACACCATCAGGCGTGATGCCAGGCAGACCCTGATCGCCTGATTCCCAATCAGCTTTTCAACATGATACACCATCAGGCGTGATGCCAGGCAGACCCTGATCACCTGATTCCCAATCAGCTTTTCAACATGATACACCGTCAGGCGTGATGCCAGGCAGACCCTGATCGCCTGATTCCCAATCAGCTTTTCAATATAATACACCATCAGGCGTGATGCCAGGCAGACCCTGATCGCCTGATTCGCAATCAGCTTTTCAACATGATACACCATCAGGCGTGATGCCAGGCAGACCCTGATCGCCTGATTCCCAATCAGCTTTTCAACATGATACACCATCAGGCGTGATGCCAGGCAGACCCTGATCGCCTGATTCCCAATCAGCTTTTCAATATAATACACCATCAGGCGTGATGCCAGGCAGACCCTGATCGCCTGATTCGCAATCAGCTTTTCAACATGATACACCATCAGGCGTGATGCCAGGCAGACCCTGATCACCTGATTCCCAATCAGCTTTTCAACATGATACACCATTAGGCGTGATGCCAGGCAGACCCTGATCACCTGATTCCCAATCAGCTTTTCAACATGATACACCATCTGGCGTGATGCCAGGCAGACTCTCATCACCTGATTCCCAATCAGCTTTTCAACATGATACACCATCAGGCGTGATGCCAGGCAGACCCTGATCGCCTGATTCGCAATCAGCTTTTCAACATGATACACCATCAGGCGTGATGCCAGGCAGACCCTGATTGCCTGATTCCCAATCAGCTTTTCAACATGATACACCATCAGGCATGATGCCAGGCAGACCCTGATCACCTGATTCCCAATCAGCTTTTCAACAGGTACTGGAGGTCCATTTGGATCTGGAATCTCCAAGGGAATATTTATAGAGGAATCATTTCCAATCCTAATAGGCTTGAAACAAGACACTGAAATCAACTGAGTTAAAACATATATCTGTAAATGTCTTGTTTTGGTCCACGACTGACAGACACTGAGCCAAGGTGTTACTTTACTATAAACAATAAATGCTTAATGTGAGGTTGTTTGTGGTGCGGACAGTGCAGTAGAGTATAGCCTGAGGACCTACATCTTCCCGAGGCAAGAGAGTTAACTGATCATAATTGTCCAGTTTCCACCCTTGTCGAACTTGGCTGGAATTATGGAGTTTCATTTTGGCTTGACTAATGAGTCCTTGCATAGTCCAAACAAAAACGTGTAACAAACTAGACCGGTTGGTAAACAACATGGATTTCAATGTGCAGATTTCGATCGACTTTAGGATATGTAAAGCATGTGTACTATCAACTAGGTGTCGACAGATATTTTGCAAATCTTAACATGTTTATAATCAAGGTGATTTGATGCACTTCGCTTGGTAAGACCCATTTCATTACAAATTATCGATCTTGATTATCGATCAGATCATCTTGACTGGGCACCGCCATTTTGTGCGATGCAAATGCAAGGGGTATGTGAAGGGCCAGCGATCGAACCTGCCTGGTTCCGCAAGGGTGGAAACTGGACTTTTATAGTCTTGTCACGGAAAGATGAAAGAGCTGTTCATGTTGAAGACATAACTCACCAGATATATGACATGCAGCTCATCCTCAAGGACGAAGCAGCGTCTGGCTCTCTGCAGCTCCGCGAACACGGCCAGTCCCTCGTCCGGGGATAGAGACGAGGCAAGCACCGCTGAGCCCAGTTGGGTGGGGTAGAATCTCTCACTGGTGCTGCCATCTGCAGGGGAAAATATCAACACAATTGTAATAGCCATGCTCAGAAGGCATAGGGTGAGGGAGTGAGTTGTGTTTAACGCTGCCTTGAACAATACTTCAGATATAGGCCGGCATGAGGGGAAAGTCAAGTGCGACTCGGGTCCTCAATTGTTAGCACTTTGCTGAAACCCATACAGGTCAGGTGCTGACAAACCAACGATCAAAATCAGTTTGATTTTGAATTCTAACCTTTATCATTGGATCCAGTCTCAGCTAAGGGACACAACTCTGCAGATATCAATACACAAAGGGGGACTCTGGGACAGAGCACCAGTAATCCATACTTGTTTCCCTTGTGCATTCAAGTGCAGAATAAACCCACGGAACTCTATTTTTGTTGTAAAACAAACTGACAGACATCCAGGTGCTGTGGTACATGGGTCATTATTATAGATAAGGTGAGATGACCCATGCAGACTTGACCAATATTCACAGCCATAACAAGACATCCAGGTGCTGTGGTGCATGGGTCATTATTATAGATAAGGTGAGATGACCCATGCAGACTTGACCAATATTCACAGCCATAACAAGACATCCAGGTGCTGTGGTGCATGGGTCATTATTATAGATAAGGTGAGATGACCCATGCAGACTTGACCAATATTCACAGCCATAACAAGACATCCAGGTGCTGTGGTGCATGGGTCATTATTATAGATAAGGTGAGATGACCCATGCAGACTTGACCAATATTCACAGCCATAACAAGACATCCAGGTGCTGTGGTGCATGGGTCATTATTATAGATAAGGTGAGATGACCCATGCAGACTTGACCAATATTCACAGCCATAACAAGACATCCAGGTGCTGTGGTGCATGGGTCATTATTATAGATAAGGTGAGATGACCCATGCAGACTTGACCAATATTCACAGCCATAACAAGACATCCAGGTGCTGTGGTGCATGGGTCATTATTATAGATAAGGTGAGATGACCCATGCAGACTTGACCAATATTCACAGCCATAACAAGACATCCAGGTGCTGTGGTGCATGGGTCATTATCATAGATAAGGTGAGATGACCCATGCAGACTTGACCAATATTCACAGCCATAACAAGACATCCAGGTGCTGTGGTGCATGGGTCATTATTATAGATAAGGTGAGATGACCCATGCAGACTTGACCAATATTCACAGCCATAACAAGACACCCAGGTGCTGTGGTGCATGGGTCATTATTATAGATAAGGTGAGATGACCCATGCAGACTTGACCAATATTCACAGCCATAACAAGACATCCAAGTGCTGTGGTGCATGGGTCATTATTATAGTTAAGGTGAGATGACCCATGCAGACTTGACCAATATTCACAGCCATAACAAGACATCCAGGTGCTGTGGTGCATGGGTCATTATTATAGATAAAGTGAGATGACCCATGCAGACTTGACCACCATTCACAGCCATAACAAGACATCCAGGTGCTCTGGGATATGGGTCATTATTATAGATAAGGTGAGATGCCCCATGCAGACTTGCCATTGTTTTTAGACGTTTTCAGTGTGACAAACTCGTTCTCTCTGAGGAAGCCGATGCAGGTGTCAATCAGCTGGTTGTTGTCCTGCTCCTCGCAAGTGGCTGCTAACATCGTACATGACGCGTAGGCAGCAACATCCCGCGGAGACGTTGCAACACCGCTAACCACGATCTGCACAAACACAACACTGTATGTCATACCACTGAGACCAGCATTATCTAAGGCCACCTTTTGTAAAAGGTTGACATATGTTTTGATAAATCTGATGTTGTATTGCTCTATACAAGAGTACATTTGCATAACATCATACTATCTTGTTGTACTGCAATGTACATGTACACTGCTGTCATATAGCTGGAGTAACAACAACAAACAAACAAACATCATCTTGAACAAGTAGTGAGTTGGTTGGGTTTTTATGGTATTTCAAGTTAAATCATAGAAAGTCAGCTTGATGTGGAGGACAACCACAAACATGATGCAGATTGTATACCTTTTGTGAAACCAACGCGCCCAGGTATGGTGCTAACATAAAAGCAAAAACTCCAAACCAATGATAAGCAGATCCTGGCACTGCTAAGGAAGGTAACTCAACAAGTGATGGACCATGCCCCACCTCCAGTATGGCTCTCTTCATGCTGGAGCTGAGCTCCTCCCTCCCCTCCCGGATGAGGCAGCTCTTGACCGGTGGCAGCTCCGACTTCATCAGCTCCATGGCACGACTCTTCTCACTCGGCTTACACACCAGCACACTCTCACCTGGCAAGATGGATGTCACATGTGCAGTTCTATATACAGACAGATGGCAGTTTACTTGTCAGACATCATGCAAGTAATGTAAGACAAGAAAGAAAATAATGTATAGGAATCACTTCATCAACAGGAGATATGTACAAAGTCACTTTTAAGTTATACTAAGAATATCCCGATCTGTACACAGTTAATCTACCCTCTGTGTCCACACCCTTCCTGCCTGTTCAGCCTACCATCTGCTTGTATGTCAAGGTGTCTATCACCTACCCTCTGTGTCCACACCCTTCCTGCATGCTCGACCGACATCTGCTTGTATGTCAGGGTGTCTATCACCTACCCTCTGTGTCCACACCCTTCCTGCCTGCTCGGCCCACCATCTGCCAGTATGTCAGGGTGTCTATCACCTACCCTCTGTGTCCACACCCTTCCTGCCTGCTCCAACTACCATCTGCTTGTATGTCAGGGTGTCTATCACCTACCCTCTGTGTCCACACCCTTCCTGCCTGCTCGGCCCACCATCTGCTTGTATGTCAGGGTGTCTATCACCTACCCTCTGTGTCCACACCCTTCCTGCCTGCTCCGCCTACTATCTCCTTGTATGTCAAGGTGTCTATCACCTACCCTCTGTGTCCACACCCTTCCTGCCTGCTCGGCCCACCATCTGCCAGTATGTCAGGGTGTCTATCACCTACCCTCTGTGTCCACACCCTTCCTGCCTGCTCCGCCTACTATCTCCTTGTATGTCAAGGTGTCTATCACCTACCCTCTGTGTCCACACCCTCACTGCCTGCTCCGCCTACCATCTACTTGAATGTCAGGGGGTCTATCACCTACCCTCTGTCCACACCCTTCCTGCCTGCTCCGCCCACCATCTGCCAGTATGTCAGGGTGTCTATCACCTACCCTCTGTGTCCACACCCTTCCTGCCTGCTCGGCCCACCATCTGCTTGTATGTCAGGGTGTCTATCACCTACCCTCTGTGTCCACACCCTTCCTGCCTGCTTGGCCTACCATCTTCTTGTATGTCAAGGTGTCTATCACCTACCCTCTGTGTCCACACCCTTCCTGCCTGCTCGGCCCACCATCTGCTTGTATGTCAAGGTGTCTATCACCTACCCTCTGTGTCCACACCCTTCCTGCCTGCTCCGCCTACTATCTCCTTGTATGTCAGGGTGTCTATCACCTACCCTCTGTGTCCACACCCTTCCTGCCTGCTCGGCCCACCATCTGCTTGTATGTCAGGGTGTCTATCACCTACCCTCTGTGTCCACACCCTCACTGCCTGCTCGGCCCACCATCTGCTTGTATGTCAGGGTGTCTATCACCTACCCTCTGTGTCCACACCCTTCCTGCATGCTCCGCCTACCATCTCCTTGTATGTCAAGGTGTCTATCACCTACCCTCTGTGTCCACACCCTTCCTGCCTGCTCGGCCCACCATCTGCTTGTATGTCAGGGTGTCTATCACCTACCCTCTGTGTCCACACCCTTCCTGCCTGCTCGGCCCACCATCTGCTTGTATGTCAGGGTGTCTATCACCTACCCTCTGTGTCCACACCCTTCCTGCCTGCTCCGCCTACTATCTCCTTGTATGTCAGGGTGTCTATCACCTACCCTCTGTGTCCACACCCTTCCTGCCTGCTCGGCCCACCATCTGCTTGTATGTCAGGGTGTCTATCACCTACCCTCTGTGTCCACACCCTTCCTGCCTGCTTGTATGTCAGGGTGTCTATCACCTACCCTCTGTGTCCACACCCTTCCTGCATGCTCGGCCCACCATCTACTTGAATGTCAGGGTGTCTATCACCTACCCTCTGTCCACACCCTTCCTGCCTGCTCCGCCCACCATCTGCCAGTATGTCAGGGTGTCTATCACCTACCCTCTGTGTCCACACCCTTCCTGCCTGCTCCGCCTACTATCTCCTTGTATGTCAGGGTGTCTATCACCTACCCTCTGTGTCCACACCCTTCCTGCCTGCTCGGCCCACCATCTGCTTGTATGTCAGGGTGTCTATCACCTACCCTCTGTGTCCACACCCTTCCTGCCTGCTTGGCCTACCATCTTCTTGTATGTCAAGGTGTCTATCACCTACCCTCTGTGTCCACACCCTTCCTGCCTGCTCGGCCCACCATCTGCTTGTATGTCAAGGTGTCTATCACCTACCCTCTGTGTCCACACCCTTCCTGCCTGCTCCGCCTACTATCTCCTTGTATGTCAAGGTGTCTATCACCTACCCTCTGTGTCCACACCCTTCCTGCCTGCTCGGCCCACCATCTGCTTGTATGTCAGGGTGTCTATCACCTACCCTCTGTGTCCACACCCTCACTGCCTGCTCGGCCCACCATCTGCTTGTATGTCAGGGTGTCTATCACCTACCCTCTGTGTCCACACCCTTCCTGCATGCTCCGCCTACCATCTCCTTGTATGTCAAGGTGTCTATCACCTACCCTCTGTGTCCACACCCTTCCTGCCTGCTCGGCCCACCATCTGCTTGTATGTCAGGGTGTCTATCACCTACCCTCTGTGTCCACACCCTTCCTGCCTGCTCGGCCCACCATCTGCTTGTATGTCAGGGTGTCTATCACCTACCCTCTGTGTCCACACCCTTCCTGCCTGCTCCGCCTACTATCTCCTTGTATGTCAGGGTGTCTATCACCTACCCTCTGTGTCCACACCCTTCCTGCCTGCTTGTATGTCAGGGTGTCTATCACCTACCCTCTGTGTCCACACCCTTCCTGCCTGCTCGGCCCACCATCTGCTTGTATGTCAGGGTGTCTATCACCTACCCTCTGTGTCCACACCCTTCCTGCCTGCTCGGCCCACCATCTGCTTGTATGTCAGGGTGTCTATCACCTACCCTCTGTGTCCACACCCTTCCTGCCTGCTTGTATGTCAGGGTGTCTATCACCTACCCTCTGTGTCCACACCCTTCCTGCCTGCTCGGCCCACCATCTGCTTGTATGTCAAGGTGTCTATCACCTACCCTCTGTGTCCACACCCTTCCTGCCTGCTTGTATGTCAGGGTGTCTATCACCTACCCTCTGTGTCCACACCCTTCCTGCCTGATCGGCCCACCATCTGCTTGTATGTCAGGGTGTCTATCACCTACCCTCTGTGTCCACACCCTTCCTGCCTGCTCGGCCCACCATCTGCTTGTATGTCAGGGTGTCTATTACTTTCCCATGGAACATGACGGAACGGATGATCACACGCCTGGCTGGCAGGTTGACACCCGAGGATAATGTGGAAGTTGCCACCAGAACCTTCACAGAACACTGACGGAATGCTCCCTCTATGATGTCACGCTCATCAAACGTCAGACCTGAAACATATCAGTTTTACAAATTTCATTTAACACAGATGGTTGATGCCTGCCATATTGGATTTCCTAATTGATGGCTATTTTATATTATCATCCAATCTTGCTTCCACAGAAAATAGACCTTGGATTAGATCAAGCAATATCTCCAGAAAGATAGTGCTACAATTCAATTGCATCACAATGCTTTGCAGACCAATGTGATGTCATCGGTTACCATGACGTCACAACCAAATGTTCTCGCTGATATCTCTGCAACTGAAGCTAGTTAGTGGACTATTTACAGACTGGTTACTAGTGTTTTCAAATTTTTAATGTTGGAAGAACATTTTTGGATTATGCATAGAACCTCACCCTTGTTTTCCAAGCTCAAATAGATCAACACTTGTTGATAAAAGTAAAAATATCCTCAACCAAATCCTCATTTTAACAACCAAATTTAAATCTGCTTTATAACAACCATTGTGCGCTGGAGAAATACTCTACATGAAATCCCAGAACCATTTCATTTTGTCAGGATATCAGCCCCAACATGAAAGAAATCAAAACACTTGAGGATATAAAAAAATAATAGTCTTGGCTCTATTGGCTACACCCCCATCACTATAAAGTCTGCCACATGTTTCCATTTCCATTTTCAGAAAAAATATAAAAATCCTAATACATTAAAACAATGCGATCCAATATAGCACGCAGTTACTTCCCTTTATATGCGCAGTGCTTATGGTAATCGTGGCAATAGGAGTTTGTAGGCTTGTTTATGTAGGGAGGTCCTGTCCCATGTGGTACACAACTGTTCATTTGGTTACATTCTAGTTTGAACAAGAAAAAACACACAAAAAAAGACTGCCCGCCCACACAATATTTGCAAAAGTCATTGCCTGAGAACCAATTCTTTTATTTCTTTTAAGTCTAACAGGTTCTTTAAACCCCTTCTGAACTTCCCCAGTACCTGCATGATGGTATGCGACCCCAAGGGGCACAGTCCTCCCCAGCACTGAGTCCAGTCCCACGGGGCTCCTCTGTAGCTGCAGCATCACATCCCTCAGAGCTGTCTGGTCAAGGGGGAGGCGAAGCAGGGCTGACGCCCTCACAAACCCTGGGGGACAGACAGCAGTCATTATACAGGCCAACAGAGCAGCAGGGCCGACACCCTCACAAACCCTGGTGGACAGACAGCACTCATTACATAGGCCAACAGAGCAGCAGGGCCGACGCCCTCACAAACCCTGGGGGACAGACAGCACTCATTACATAGGCCAACAGAGCAGCAGGGCCGACGCCCTCACAAAGCTGGTGGACAGACAGCACTCATTACATAGGCCAACAGAGCAGCAGGGCCGACGCCCTCACAAACCCTGGTGGACAGACAGCACTCATTACATAGGCCAACAGAGCAGCAGGGCCGACGCCCTCACAAACCCTGGTGGACAGACAGTAGTCATTACATAGGCCAACAGGGCAGCCCAGACAGAATTCAAGTCTGCTAGCCCAGTACAGTTTGTCCGCCGATGTTAAAGGAGCCCTAGGCGAGTAAAATGTCAGGGCCCCTTTTCACAAAGCGATGGTAGAGCTAAGATGGTCGTAACTCCAATACTTTAACACAGGCTTACAACAATCTTAACGCTACAATCATTGTGGAACGAAACCCAATATTTGTTTGTTTGTTTGTTTAATGCTGCACTCAGCAATATTCCAGCTATATGATGGCGGTCTGTACATAATTGAGTCTGGACCAGACAATCCAGTGATTGACATCATGAGCATCAATCCACGCAATTGGGATACAATGACATACATCAACCAAGTCAGGTTGACCACCTGATCCTGTTAGTCGCCTTTTACAACAAGCATAGTCGCCTTTTACAACAAGCATAGTCGCCTTTTACAGCAAGCATGGGTTGCTGAAGCCCTATTCTACCCCAGATCTTCATGGGTCCATATATGTTGAAAATAGTCAAGCGAGTAAATGTTTCGGTAATTTCTGTCCGTGCTGCAGGAGGCTGAAACTCTATGGATGTTTGACAAGGTAGATATATAGTGCTTGGGTGCAAGTGCAAAGGAACAATTTGGTATAATCAATGGTGCAGTTGGAATGGTAACCAATGGTAACGACAGAAATATGCAATAAAGAGTCAGTACTTAAGATGTATCAATAAAAATGTCTATATTATCAATATTTCAATTGAACTAGATGATCAAATTTGAGATCAGATGTCAACATTGTCGTTTCAATTTCTGATTACCTTCAATGACCTGAAATCAGTTCGGCCTGATGACAATATGGATCACACACTTCCAGGTCCTTTCTATTTGACCTGAACACCCAAATTAATATTCCACAATACTACTCCAGTGACTCAATTATGCATATATAAAGCATCTGTAATGTTAATGACAGAATGGTATGAGGAAAGATTGAAATTTTGGAAACAAGAAGATATACTACATGTACTTAAAAGAACTCAGAGAACACCCAATTCCTTCAATTACTATGCAGAGTTAACAAATTAAATGTGTAGTTAACAGATTAACTGTAGTAATATGAAAGAATGGGGTGTTCTTTAACTTCTTTCGAGTAGTACGTATATACATATTTCTCCGTTAGCCGTCAGGGTTTAATGATCATGAATGATTCTGTCCAACAAGTGCATCAACAGCCCAGGTTACCTTACATATATCAGTACAGTTGACTTCTTTTGACAAATGAGTTAAAGGAATAGCTCCTTTTTGTCTGGTATTGAAACTGAAACTGAAATTAATTATAGCACAAATCACAAACATGCTAAGATAAAGTGAATGAGTGAGTGAGTTGGGTTAAACACTACATTGAACAGAATTCCAGTTATATCAGGGTGTGTCAGCTTGTGTGGGAGCAAACAGCCTGAAGTGATGCAGGTCTCAGACGTTTACCACTTTGGTGAAACACTAGAGCACGGGTTTGGTGCTGACAAACCTAGAAACATATTTGGGATTACAGGCATTCGAACCAACAATCATAGGTTTCTGGCGTGCCCAAGGGAAGCAACTCTGCACAGTGAATTTCAGGGCCTCAGACGACTGGGCCACCTGTTCCCCCTATTATGTCAAAGAGTGATATATAACAGTTCATTACAAAACAGTTCCACAAGTGTAGCGGGGGATGAATGAATAATGTTTTATGCCACAGTCAGCAATTTCAAGCAACATCAAAACAACCTGTAAATAAGGGCCAGACAAACTAGGAGTGAAACTCCCCGGCGGAGCATGACACACAATAAGCCAGCTGCAACCACCCCATCTTCATTGTCCGAAACCCCTGGGTTCATGCCTCGCAAACAAACACGAGGAGGTTTCACTGACCTATAACAAGACTTTACTGGGCTTTGTCTTGACTTGAGTGAAGCATCCTTGTACATGTGTATTCCGTGCAAGCAATGTGTTCTCGTCACACCAGACTAGTTATATTTCTTCGTGTGACAAGTCCTGGTGGGTAGATTTAGAAATAATGTCTTTTATGTTCTTTTCCAATGTTCAAGAAGTTACAATCAAACTAGTCACTGTGTCGGACAAGTGAGGACCTGGGGAAAAGTTCCAGTTATCCAGATTTTGAGACAACCAACAAAGTGAATTTCCAGGGGCTACAATGTAAGTCCGAGACAACCAGGAAATTCGACACATCCAAGTTTGACACGTAAATACTGTCTTTATAAAGCAGTCTTCACAAATGAATGTTTTCTAATGAAATTTGTTTGCAGTTTGCTGTGTATACAAAGTGTGCTTTTTAGATATTTCATTTTAATTTTCAACTTGGGGGGGGGGATCCACTGGGTATTTTTTAAAACATTGCCTCACTTTACCTTTATCTGAGTCTCCTGCTGCAGGCTTGGCTGCCTTCCTGAGATTATAGAACTCCCTGGCTATGGTCTCCGACAGCTTCTCACACCAGTTCTTAGTGGGGCAGAAGATGAGGACGGAGTGGCCGGCCAGGATGGTCTCCAGACACAGTGGGAGGATGTGGTCGCTGTCGCCGGGGAAGGTGTGATTAGGGTCGAGGTCCCTCAGCTTCCTCATCTGGGAGTCAAACACTGAGGTCCCTAGCTTGACACTCTCAGTGAGGGGCACTGGTCTGTAGTCGGTCTTGTACAGGTCGGCCTTCAGCCAGCGGGCCAGGAGGTCAAGGTTAGGCAACGTGGCACTCATCCCAACAATCTGCACGTGGTCCTCGGTCACAGTAGACTCGGTGCTGCAAATTGAAGTAAAAGACTCGTATTCTTCTAAAAGACATAATCATACCTGTCTGTTTTGCTAAAAAAAAATAATAGTTTTGGTTCTCAGGCACCGCCCGCATCATTATAGTCCACCGCACCTTTCGTTTCTATTTCCATTTCCCAACAAAATCCTAATACTTAAAAACAATGCAATCCATTATACCACGCAGTTACTTCCCTTTGAATAAGCAAAATGAAAAAGAAAAAAAAAATGCACACACTATATTTTCAAAAGTAATTGCCTGAGAACCAGATCTTTTCTTTTATTAAGACTTATTTGCAATTCCTTTATAGTTACTCAGGACTAATTATTAATAATTAGATAAGAAGTACACATTTCTTCATAGTGTGTGTTGAGGGAAAGCCCAAAGAGATGCAGTTCTCAGGCATTCAATGACAAGATCCTTGTCTATGGAAAACCCTAATGATTTGAAAAAACCCGGGTGTATTGCCAGAGACTCCTAACAGCATGTCATATGAATCCTACAGGTGGTGCAGCAGAGCTTAGAGTATGTCAAGTCTTCGGTTTTCATACCACTGATGGAGAACCAGTAATTTCCTGAGTGAAAGTATGACAATTAAATCTGAATCCATTGAAAAATATTGAACTGCTCCCTTATTGTTATTTACTTAACAGATGGTTACTATCCTGACAAAGAAGTCATTGTTCAGGATAAGCAGCTGCCTCAGATGGCCCCATGCACCACATCGTCTGGGACGTCAGACGGCGGCACCACATGTGCCTGTAGCATGGACGTATCATCACCGGCAAGAGTAGGTGAACACTTCATATGTGACCTCATCATACACTGGTAGAGTCTAATTTGCATGATATTTTGATGTACCACCCTTTGAGTCTTTTGGTATGACGCGTATGGGAATGGAACCCTGGACCTTTCCGCTCTCCAGGTGAACGCTCTACCCCTAGGCCACAGAGGCGGTCTCATGGACAATAGCCCTACCTTGGGTCGGTGTTAACTCTGTTAGCCACGTAGCAGATCTTGGTGAGCAGCAGTTCCAGCAGGTAGCCGCGGTGAGAGTCGCCCACCATGTGCAGCTCGTCCACCACGATGATACCTACAACACAGTACCAGAGATACAGTTCCCAATCTCTGCTTCCAGAATCCTTTCCCCTGTACAATCAGGAGGAGTCTACAACATGGGATTTCACTAACACTAGATCGTGCTGGCTTGACTACTTTGGAAACCTTGATCAGCATGGTGTGAGTGTCTGGACAGTATTTCACTTATAACAAAGTGTGTCAGAATGATTTGGGAGGACAGCCCGAAGTGATGCAGGTCTTAAACGTTTACAACTTTGGTGAACCTACAAGCACATATATTGTGTTAACGAACCTAAAAACACAACGAGGGTGAACCTGCAACTCTGCACAGTGAATTGTGGCACCTTTCACGACGAGTCAATCCTTGCACCCTGACCTGAAGTCATTGCAAACCAAACCTCTACAGCGTTGCAATAGCACCCCATTGGAATCTAACCTATTTAAATTCCCATGGTGCTGATTATGTCTGTAACAATACAGAATTTGTCGTATCAGGAATCCTGTTCAACATTTGTTTTACAATTTAAGCCTAAAATAAGACCAACAGGTATCCATCCCCTCTGTATTTCTTCTACATCATGATGAGCTAATTACAATCAGTATTGGGAGAAAAGGTGCAGAGAATTGTGAGAATACCAAAGTTAACCCCCCTATACATAAAATGGAGTTGTCCGACATTGCCTAGGTCGGATTCTATTCAGGGAGACATCATTATTTAAAAGCGGGTACATGTTTTTAAAGCTTATACAATTTACTGACATCCTTAAAAAGGCTGTACAAAATGTTGATATCTCATATAAGAAATAAACGACTTGTGGTCGTTGTTTATCGTACAATAAAACACTGCAAGGAGAAAAAAACATGAGGGGCACAGCAGTGTTCAATTGTACAATAAAAAAAGACCACGAGTCGTTTATTTCTCAAGTAGGTGAGTGAGTATGGTTTTACGCCGCTTTTAGCAATATTCCAGCAATATCATGGCGTGGGACACCAGAAATGGGCTTCACACTTTGGACCCACGTCAGGAATCGAACCCAGGTCTTCGGCATGCCGAGCGAACGCTTTAACCACTAGGCCACCCGACTGCCCCTCTCAAGTATAGCTAAGTTAAACATGTAGACTATGTAGACACTATTTAGTGGGTCCTGTGGCTGCATACAATTAGTATGTAGTCAGTTTTATGTCATCGCTCACCAAGCTTGTGTAGCTTGTTATCTTCCAGGAGTCTGTTGATGAGGCTGTTGCCCTTCTCAATGGTGCACACAGCCACGTCGACGCTGCTGAACCCCCCAGGGGGAGAGTAGCTGCCCATGAACCCACTCACTCTCACCCCTGCATCCTGGTACAGCTGCTGCAATCAGGATACCACCATATGTTTGTTTGTTTGTTTGTTGTTTAACGACGCACTCAGCAATATTCCACCAAACAATCCAGAGATTGACATAATAAGCATTGATCCACGCAAATGTTTGTTTGTTGTTTAACGCTGCACTCAGCAATATTCCAGCTATATGCGGCAGTCTGTAAATAATCGAGTCTGGATCTGACAATCCAGTGATTGATGTCATGAGCATCGATCCACGCAATTGGGATACGATGACATACATCAACCAAGTCAGCGAGCCTGAGCACCCAATCCCTTTTGTTGCCTCCAATTTTAACCCAGATCTTCACTGGGTTACCAGGATATGTGCATCAGTGGTGAGATGGACAGCCTGCATTCTTTAACCTGTAAGCTACTTCATCACTCTCTCTTACTTAAAAAGGCTTTGATCATATTCATGTGTGCTCAGTGATGTTGCAACAGTGCCTGGGGATCAAGAAGATCTATTTTGAGCCTTGTTCTTAATGTCATTTGAGTTTTAATAAATACACTCGATTGTTAAATATCCTTAAAGTTTCAGCTAAAAATATTTAATTTGACTGCACAACAATACACCTAAAGAAACCTTACATTGTTTTTTAATTGAGATTCAACTGCTTATTTTATTGCATTAATACCAAATAATGTTTATTTGGATGAATGGTTTCAACTTGGACACACTAAAAGCACAAATACCATTTCTGTATGAAACCAGGGAAAACAACATGCCTCACTACAGTGAGCCGTACCTGCAGTGAGAACATCTTCTCCCTGGTGACAGACACGAAGGGCAGGATGAAGAGAGCCTTCCTCTTGGTCTCCAGCACTCGCTTCAGTATCAGCAGCTCTGCCACCAACGTCTTCCCCGCGCTGGTTGGGGCTGAGTACACCAAGTTACCTCCATCTGCAGATACATGTAGATACCTGATATTCTACCATGAATTTGGAAAATCCCCGATTCTGATTGATTAATCAGGTGTTCCAGCACTCGCTTCAGTATCAGCAGCTCTGCCACCAACGTCTTCCCCGCGCTGGTTGGGGCTGAGTACACCAATTTACCTCCGTCTGCAGATACATGTAGATACCTGATATTCTACCATGAATTTGAAAAAAAAACCGATTCTGATTGTTTAATCAGATGTTTCAAATCACTAAAACCACGTCTGATTCAAACAGCTGATGTTACTTTCGCATCTTCATGGAAGCAAAAATTTAGTTACAAACTCTGTTTAGCATGGTTAAATCTACAGGTAATCCCGTTCTACATTGAAAACAAAGTGTATTTATCACCTAATTAATCAATTCATGGCAGTTAAAGACTCATGGCAACATCTGTTTCTTCACATTACATAACCAGGGAAAGGGAAATAAAATCAATGTTCTCTGGCAAGAAAACAGTCAAATTTACTTGTTTGAAATGTAGAAGTCTATAGTAATGAATCAAAAAGACAATATTTTTGGCCTGTGTTTTACAATTTGGGTCCATTTGTGTTGTTTATCTGGATTTAGGTTTGCGTTTATTATCACCTATCTGTTCACAAATAGCTACATTTGGGCCAGATTTGTGACCCTGACTATCACTGACAAGATATGTTTTCAACATATACTGGCTTATTGCCCAGTCATCACTGACAATAATTTTCATGAATAATTTGTGATTTTCTGGGTCATACCATACCAGGGATAATCATGTCATAGTTTCTTAGGCTTTGCTGAAACTTAAGAGCATGAATATGGGTCTGACAAATCTTATAAAATCAGATTAAATACACTGATACAACATCCTCTCTACATGAACATCTAGGAAACTCTCCATAGGAGGTTAAGTCAGGGCGACTTTCTCATGAGTGTTAAGGCTTTTAAATTCTCAGCATGGGCATGCAAGGCATTCAGAGCAGCTTATCTGATTTCTGCATATGGAAAATGAACATAAATGAGCAGTTCCAAATGGAAAACAATACTAAGGGATACAACTCTGCAAAGTGAACAACAACAAAGCCAACTGTGCCACCTATGCCCGCAATTTCATCATTAACATAAATTCTGTATCACAGACACTGATATGACATGGTCCGGGCCAAATGGTACACTATTACTTACTGAGAACGTGTCCAGTACAGAGACACTGAGCCTGCCACTCAAACATCTGCCTGACCCCCACACGGTGATACTGTCTCAGCACGGCGTCCGGTAGCCCCCACGCGGACAGCAGCAGCTGGTTGGGGTCCACACCTCCTGGTTCAGGAATACAGGATCTTATAAACAATACTATTTTCTAAACCACTGATACAGGATCTTATAAACAATACTACTTTCTACACAACTGATGCAGGATCTTATAAACAATACTACTTTCTGAACAGCTGATACAGGAGCTTATAAACAATACTACTTTCTACACTACTGATGCAGGATCTTATAAACAATAGTACTTTCTACAAAACTGATACAGGAACTTATAAACATTACTACTTTCTACACTACTGATACAGGATCTTATAAACAATACTACTTTCTACACAACAGATACAGGGTCTTACAAACAATACTACTTTCTACACAACTGATACAGGGTCTTATAAACAACACTACTTTCTACACAACTGATACAGGATCTTTACCGGGCACAAAATATTGCATCCTATAAACATACAACATGAGAAAGGACGCAAATAATTACATAGCGTACTGTGGGATCTAAAACTAGTATGGCTTTTTGAGTCAGTAAATTTATCAAAGCTTTAGAGACCACCATGTTCATGCCATGGACCCTCAAAATTTATGATTGAGAATCTGCAAGCCTCAAAAATAGATTGCTCCAGTTAAATTAAATTCCTGTTACCATACTCTGATCTTTCAGAAGCAATTTGCTCAAACTCATCTCTGCGAAGATATAATGTGTACTGTTGTACAATGACTTAGGCAGTACTTGTAATAGTTGCAAAAACTTTGAATTGTCTAAAATACATCATCATCATCATCATCATCATCATCATTAATTTTCAATCAATAATACATCTCTTATATATCATACCAGAAGTAATTATAAAATTCAGACTATCATGATACTTAACTTGATTCAACATCATCACAACTGCTGGGTGAGTTTGTTTCAGAGAATTAATTTGTACCTGTTTAATCAAATTCTGTTATAACGGGAAAACACCAGTTGACTGTACAAGTGTACGCAAGCCATAGTTAATAATACAAGTACAGAAAAAATATGTACCTTTGTCTGAACATGCTGCATCCGTTGAATTTGAGCACACATCCGTTTTTCCGCTTGTTTCTGTACTATCACTACCAGTTGGGGACATTACCTTATCCCTTCTAGAACAAGTCACTGTATTACCTTCCTGATGCTTGTCTATAGGTCCTGACTGTTTGGTAATTAAACTTTTGGTTGAAGACGGGTGTTTGTTCCTGACATTCTCCTTGCAGTTTCCACCACTGCTGCCACAAATGTCTGAGATTACAGACTTGGTCGGCTGAGATTGATTATCAAATTTTAACTTTTCTACATTCTGGATATCACGCAAACCTGATCCTACACTTGCTTTATTCCCAACTTCAGTCAGGGGGGCAGAAGTTTGAATGTTTAAGGACTTGTTTTTATTTCCGATGTCGACCTTTTCGCCCTTTTTAGCCCTCACCATTTCCCCAGCAATCTTGTCTATCTCTTCCTTTCCATGGTTGTCTCCCTTCCTCCTACCCTGCCTCTGTGAATCCTGGGGGGTGGGGCTGGAGGAGTCAGGGCACAGAGCTACTGTAGCCAGAGTTGTTGTGGGTGGTGTCTGATATGAGTTTATTGTTGCAAACAGTGCCTGAATGGGTTTTTCCTTTTTCATCGTAGTTTTTCCTTTTTCCAACCCACTACAGTGTTTCTTGTCTGCTGGACTTTGTGTCGGGGTCTGGATGTGGACTGAATCTTGACTTCGCTGAGAGAGTTTAGCTTTTGCGGTTTGTAATTTTGAAGAAGTCTTTGTAGCCCTGGTTCTTTTCCCTGTCATTATTTTAGTAGGTGTGTGAGACTCGTTGGAACGTGCATGACCTGACCCACAATTATGATGATAGCGCGAAGATGTATATTTTGAATTACTTTCATTTCCAGCTGGTTTAATTAAGCCATCACCATCCATCTTTTTATCACAATCACTGACAGACACAGCTGCCTTTTTATGCTTCTGTGGGGTTACAGAGTTCAAAATGGCTACATTACAAACACCTTGCTTTTGTTGAACAGGTGTTCTTGTTTTCTCATCAGTCAACTTTGCCACTGGCGTACTGCAGATGGGGGCTCCTTTGCTTCCCAGTTGATAATCTGCTTCCATTTTGTCAACTGCGCACATGAAGTCAGAGTCAAGTTCAAGGCCAAATGAGGAGCTGAGAGATGAGCTGATGTCAACATCTTTGGCTCCACTAGCTCTAACAGTTTCAGTTCTGGTAGCTTTCTTGCTGTCATTTTCTGAGCTGAAACATTAACAGGGAGAGGAAGTTCATTATAATGAGCCTGGGGTAAGCCGGATTTTAAACTGAGAGCCCATGGCAAGCATATTGTGAAAAATCACAATTATTTTGTTTAGATGTTGGAATATTAGGAAAGCCTGTAGCTTCTTAAATTCAGAGGTCATTACAGTAAATGCAATGGTGTAAAAAAACAGTAACCAAATAACCAATTTCTTGTTTTTTCTTTATTCATTCTGTTGTTGGTGAATTTAAAGTTATCTTTGCAAAGCCAAGACAGCAAAACCCAACAAGTGGTAGTATCAATGAATTGGTTTAACACAGCTGCTTCACATAATCTTAAAAACTGCAAGAACTGATTGATTACTCCCAAAATGTAGTGATGTGATATAAGCCAAGGTTCATGATAGTATTGTTTGGAATTGTGGACTAGTTGGTTTTAACACATGTGGTTTACTGCTGTTAGATTCACTGTTTTAACCATGTTAACTGTTCAGCTGTTGCAAACTGACTTCTTGAAAAATACCAAGTTTTATTACACAAAATGTACTTCAATTTGCCAGGATGATACGTCCACATGGATTCTGCTTGGATAGCATGCTACATACCCCTTCCTTGTAGCAGTGGCTCCTGCAGATGGGTTTACTGGGATCCTCCCAAGTCTCTTCCTTCCAGAATAGGAGAGGACAGAGGAGTTGGCTGAAGCATCGGAGGCTTTGCGCACTCCTGTGAATTGTTTTTGTTGGCGCCATGACTCTGTTAATTTTTTCATTTTTATGTCAGAACATCTGGACCTGCAAAGTCATCTCCTTCCACATGTTCCATAGCAAGTATTTGCTGACAGGAAGATGTAAGTTGTTGAATGACCATTGATCTGAAATGATATCATAGCTATATTAGTAGTAGTTTGGACATATTATTGATGTATTGCTGAAGGAGATTTCAAATACAGAATTTTTTACACTCACATGTGTGTCATAGTGATTTTACTAAACATGTGTAAGAAGTCATGTATTACTCTTGTTCTCGCTTAGAAAATACAAGAATTCTAATACTCGTTTGGTAAAATCAGTATAACACACATATGCTTGTAAATTGTAAAAAACTGCAAGAACTAATTATTGAATTCTCCCCAAATGAGTAATGTGATATCAGCCAAGGGTCATGATAGTATTGTTTGGAATTGTGGACCCGAAACCCTGTTATTTTAGAGAGGCGACAAAAATGGTGACTGAAAAACTTAGAATCTGTTACAAAGGAATGAGCTCGTGCACATCTCTTACCAAAATGGCGGAAGGTGTCCGGTATACTGCATTCTTTCGATAATCGGTATCATGGTTTAGATATGAGGCATAACGATGTTTAAGTATTGACATGCCATAGCGTGTCATAGTATGGGTAACTGAACTGTTATAAGGTGGCCAGTGTGAGTGTATGTTATGTATATGTAGTCAACCGTCTTCAATCTTTCTTGGTTTCCACAAGACCGATGATCAATGATTCAATATTTGTTTCAGTATGCAAAAAAATTCAAGTTGTTCTCAACATTTAACAGTGCATGTCTGTGTTGCGTGACTTGACACTGACACGTATGTCTACACTATGTTTTAATTCATCATTACAATCCGAAACACAGTACAATATAGCTTGCTATTTGTATTAAATCAAATATTGCAGGAACTCATTTTTGAAATTTCCGCTCTTCAGACGCCATTTTGTGTAAAAAAGAACGAAGTAGATTTGGAACGAAATAACAACATCACGAAAACATACACGTTTCGCTAAATTTTACAAATCATATTCTTAGCTTCACAATTTATACTTATCGAGCTTTTAAAACCCTTTAACCACAATGTCTATCCTTATATAATGATTAACCAACAAAACTCGATCCTTATTTCGATACATTATCTCAGTGCGTACTTTTAGTAGCAACAAAGCATTATGGGAAATTATTGGCGCCAAATAAAAACAAAAACAAACTTTTCCGCAAGAAATCTATAAGGACACATTATTTTACCGTTTTAAAGGTACCAGTAATTCATAGAAGATTATTGTTGGTGGTTCATACTGATGTTCTACATATATGCGTATTTTTATGTTGTTAATTTGGAAACAAGCTCTAAGATTTCGTAATTTAATGTGCAGAACACCAAAATACTTATCTAGCCTATCTAACACAATAAGAAATTACACTTCTTCCAGATTCTCAAACAAACATCGATGTTCAGCACATGCATGCCTAACTATATGTTGACTGACAGACTAAAGTAAGTGTACATAATCAGCTGATGCCAATTATACACATGAACATATTGATCAACTATCACGTTTGTGGTGAATGTGTAAGAGTGAATATTATCCTACCCTATTTTTTTTCCCGAGGATGAAATTCTATAGTGTCAGGATGATTCTCCCTAGTGAATTTGAACCCATACCAGTTTGGAACTAAGGCAGGATAATATACTCTGCAGTAAAATGTCCCCTGGGATATATTTAGGTAGGATGTAACTTCCTTGCTTACCAAATTAATGCAAGAGACATTCAAACCAATTTACCTTGTCGCTTAGTAACACCCTGAATCTTTGTATGTCCTACTAGGATATTGATTGCTGTAAAAGTGATTTAATCTTCACACAATCAACACTGTCAGAAGTGATCACCAGCTACATTCCATGCCAAAATGGTGTCTTATATGTAGTTTCTTGTGCTTTCAGTCACTGGTTTGCCTGCTCAGTTATTTTCAGGCTGCTGTGACATTTTGCTGGAATAGCCTATTGCTGAGTGTGATGTGAAACTGCATTCTCTATCTTAAGCGCTTCAATCTTACACATGATGAAATGCAATGACACCTATTTGAACAAATCCATTTCAGTCAATCATGAATGTACATATATTTTTCATATATGCCCAATCCCTTTTGCTTAGTATGGTATAATCATGATGATAGATAACTTAAGACATGAGAACTGTTCACCTTTAGGTTTTTGAAAGGCATTTAGTAGTAATACACATAAGGAAGAGAATTTATGGATGTCAACTTCTTTATTATGAGGAACACAACGTTTCAGAGTATATGCTTACTCCTTCATCAGATGAATGAATGCCATGAGGCAGAGAGCATATATATGTTCACCTTTAATTTATAACATTAAAGATTATTATGCTAGAGTCCGCAAGCAGTCATGTTCACAAGAGAAGTTACATTTGGGATGGCCTATATGTGATGATGTAGACTATATTATTTGATCTTAGAGGACAAAATAATGAATTTCCTGTACTTCCATGGGTTTCCTCTCCTAAATCTGTTTGCTGTTGTCCAAGCCTTAGTATCGTTTCCGACCTGTGAAGATCCGGGGTAACATAGGTCTTCAGCAACCCATGCTTGTCTTATTAGGCGACTAACAGGATCGGGTGGTCAGGCTCGCTGACTTGGTTGATGCATGTCATCGTATCCCAATTGTGTGGATCGATGCTCATGATATCAATCACTGGATTGTCTGGTCCAGTCTTGATTATTTACAGACTGTCGTCATATAGCTGGAATATTGCTGAATGCAATGTTAAACAACAAAGTTTCATTTCCAATAAATATAATATTAGTCTAAACATATAGATTATAAACGTTTCATTCGACCAAGCTAAGAAGACTAAATGAAAGAAAAGTACCACGACCAGGTTTGGGAATCCGGATGCTGGTCCAAGTCGGACAGTGACCATGGTGACAAATATAGATTCTTACAGCTGTGCTTATTTCTGTTTCCGTGGTTATAGATGAAAGTCGTAACACCCGAGATATCATGGCATGGAAAGGAGCCCATCTATAGCATCGACTTCCAGCCAGGGGACAGAACCATCAAACGTCTTGCCAGCGCCTCTGTCGACAAGCTCATCAGGGTAAGATGCTCATCTAGTGACCCTGAACACACTCATCTGGTGACACAAGACATGCTCAGCAGTTGCGGTGTTCATCCAAGTTGTCAAAAATGTAGATTGTCATTATAACAGAGATATGCCATCATTCCTGATACGTTATGTTTAGGTGTTTTCATCAAGTAACACCAGCTTTTTTTTCTTATATTGTTTCCTTCTGATTCTTGAATTTGCTGCAGTAGTGTCACTATATTTGCAAAGAGCTGTAAATACATCATTAGATCAGACTCTTGGAATTTTCTGACATGGGCCCTTGTTAAATATTCCAGAGGTACGCCCATACAGCACAATGTTAAAATGTATTGTATTTGGAAATGTGGGCCTTTTTCCAAATTTAGGGGCTATAAGCACAAGGCTCCACCCTAGAATTATCCTTGGCAGATGCACTTAAAAAACTTGTATTTTTGACAATTTCAGATGTGGCAAGTGAAGGTGGACAAGGAAGGCAAAGTAGAAACCGAGTTTCTCTCCAACCTCCGACGACACACACGCTCAGTCAATGTCTGCAGATTTTCTCCTGATGGTAAGTTTTAGTTTTCAGGGTTGCAATTATTTGAGGAATTAGTCCTAGTTTGAAGTCATCAAGTCACTCAGTTGAGATGACTGTATGCTGCATTGAGTGCTGCATGTTTGACAGTGGATTCTGGGCCTGTATACCATGTGGATTCAGATGTAGGCCCAGCATCCATATGTTGTGGTAAGACTATGAGCAACAAATCTGAAGATTGAGAGGTTACAAAGTGCAACTTGGCTCATAATGAGATATCATACTCCATTGATATATCGATGTTCATGCTGTCAACCACTGATATGTGTTGCCCAAACTCATTATTATTTATTATTGTATGCCTGGAATGTTGCTGACAGTGGCATAAAATAACATTTACACACTGAGATGGAACTATGAGACTCATCACGGAGAACCAGTTGAGCACATCTCCTAAAAGACTTCTGATTACTGAAGGCCACAAGCCAGGTACAGAGGTTTTATGAATGAAATCATTTTCATCACCTTTGGACACAATAAGCAGTGATATTCAAAATATGGTGATAGTATTCTGATAGTTTGTGAAAGTATACCAATTGTATTGGGATAGTATACCAATTGTATTGTGATGGCATTGTAATAGTATTCAGATAGTATTGTGATAGTATACCGATAGTTATTGTGATAGTATACAGAATATGAGATTGTATGTGATAGCATTGTAATAGTATTCAGATAGTATTGGGATGGTATACCGATGGTATGGGGATAGTATACCGATAATATTCTGATAGTATTGTGACAGTATACAGATTGTATTGTGATAGTATACCAATTGTATACTGATAGTATTGTGACAGTATTGTGAGAATATTCCGATTGTATTGTTATAGTATTCCAATTGTTCTGTGATGGTATTGTGACAGTAATGTGTTTGTATTCCAATAGTATTGTGGAAGTATACCGATTGTATCTAGCATTGTGGTAGTATTGTGATAGTATTCTAATAGTTCTTTGATGGTATTCTGATTGTATTTTCCAATAGAACTGTGATAGTGTTCCGATAGTAGTGATAGATTTATGATGAAACTACCTCCATGACCAGTGATCTTCTCACACTGCTATTTCCATTTGTCCTGAGTTCGTATTCTTTAACTTTCAGGGGACACACTGGCCTCGGCTGGAGATGGTATGTTTATTCTTTAATTTTTAAGTAGGAAATATTTTACTGTAATTTGATCATATATCATGATTATATTATGATTTGCTTTTTTATTAATTTTATTGGGGTGTAACTGTTCAATGCTTGAAATTAAGGGGGTCGTAGGGTGCTTGACGTCTGCATTTGAATCTAGGGACCCCTTAAATCTATCTGTTTAACAACAGGGCTATGACAAGGAGCCCTTGACTTTCATGCTTACTTTCGGAGACTGCTGTTAATATCAGTTTGACGATTTACATTCTCTAATTTCATGTTGAAATATACTTGCAGACAATGTGATATTGTTCTGGCGACTCAGTGATACGCCCACCCCTGCAAACAACATCTTCCAGGAAGAGGATGAAGATAATAAAGAGACGTGGGTTGCCACGACAACACTTAGGTAAGAAAGGATGACCAGCATACAAAGACTGTCAAAACCAAATTATTGGAATGGATTGTTGTATTTGTGTTTAAAAGAGTCTAATTATTAGGAAATTAATGACACATTAAGCCTCAAAGCCTCAGAAACTCTTTTATCCTCCATCTTTGTGGATTGACCAAAATATGTATATAACATGGTAAATAACAAGAAATAGTAACAAAGGAAGGGTTTGTTGCTGTTTTTTGTAAATATTCACACGTGTATATTCATTATCATAGAATCATTTCAGCAATATTACCTTGCGGAGTTATCCCCCTTTGACTGTTGAAAGCACTTGCATGGGTGACAGTTTATCCTTCTTTCAAACTGTTTCTAAAAGTAGAGGTGAATTAATGCAAATATGTGAAGCTCTTCATTGAAGCTCATGCCACACTTGGTGTGCTCTTGGTAGAGAACAAGATGTTGTTCTGCAGAGCTTTGGGTAATCTGTATACAACTGACGTCTGGATTTGGTTTGCACAGTTAACAAGATTTGCACAGGATTGAGATTGAAGGTCTTGGATTTTGAGATTTGGCTTCTGAAGTCATTCAGTTTAGATTTTGCCTTGAATAGAAATTAAGATAGATCATCTGCATTGAAAATGCCTTGAATTTTCCAAACCAATGCCTGATTGAAGTCAATCTCATTCAAATCAGGGGCCCGTTTCACAAAGGGATCGTAGCGCTAAGACGGTCGTAAGTCTATGTTAAAGTATAGGAGTTACGGTGGTCGTAGCGCTACGATTGCTTTGTGAAATGGGCCCCAGATCTTTTGCTCCGATCAGTTCTTCTCAGCATAAAGGTCTGAGGACACCCAAACAGCATATTGTTGACAATAATAATAATGTTGGTAAATTATCAAAAAAAAATATTTGAAAAATCAACATAATCAATGCTGAATCAATGCTGTATACAATATATTGATGATCATTTGCAACAGACCTGTCTCCCTTCCAGTGTTATGAATGTTTGCTTCTGTTTAAGTTAGATATGCCCAAATCTGTAACCATGGTAACAAGTTGGAAATATATGTAATATTTAATTTGCATGACATTGAATGTTGGGGGCGGTTGCCTTAATAATTCAGTGAATTTGTAACTGAAATGCTCTGTGAACCCGGTTTAAGTGAATGACGGAAGGTATATCTAGTGTTAAATAGTTACATAACACATTGCAATTGTATAAAAAGCGAAAAGGTACTATAGCGTGTGGATGACATTTTCTATATAAGAATATAAATATTAAAATTACTGACATGTTTCTTCCCTCAGAGGTCATCTGGAGGATGTATATGACTTATGTTGGTCAGCTGATGGCCGCTACCTCATCTCAGGGTCAGTTGACAACAGTGCTATACTATGGGACACCAGTAAAGGTGGGTTTTAGACAGTGTGTATTATTGTGGACAACAGTGCTATACTCTGGGCCACCAGTAAAGGTGGGTTTTAGACAGTGTGTATTATTGTGGACAACAGTGCTATACTCTGGGACACCAGTAAAGGAGGGTTTTAGACAGTGTGTATTATTGTGGACAACAGTGCCATACTCTGGGACACCAGTAAAGGAGGGTTTTAGACAGTGTGTATTATTGTGGACAACAGTGCTATACTCTGGGACACCAGTAAAGGAGGGTTTTAGACAGTGTGTATTATTGTGGACAACAGTGCTATACTATGGGACACCAGTAAAGGTGGGTTTTAGACAGTGTGTATTATTGTGGACATCAGTGCTATACTCTGGGACACCAGTAAAGGTGGGTTTTAGACAGTGTGTATTATTGTGGACAACAGTGCTATACTATGGGACACCAGTAAAGGTGGGTTTTAGACAGTGTGTATTATTGTGGACATCAGTGCTATACTCTGGGCCACCAGTAAAGGGAATAGAAAATGAATAGGTAACTTGTTCCAGAAAGTACATGTCCATGATTTGTCCACAAGATGTGCCCATCGTTGTCATGCATTCCCATGTTTCTTGGTCTGCTATCTGCTCACCCAGCAATGAATGTGTGTCCATTTCTGGTGACCACTGATTTGATGTTGCTGGAATATTGTTCGTAGCAGTGTAAAACCCAACTCACTCACTCACTCATTCATTCACTCACTCACTCACTCACTCACTCACTCACTCACTCACTCACTCACTCACTCACTCACTCACTCACTCACTCACTCACTCACTCACTCACTCACTCATCGTATCCAAATTACATGGATGTACAAGTAATGTTTATTTGTCAAATGTTATGGTAAAGTTGGTTGCTTTTATTTAATCAGTGATGGGATTGGTGGGTAATGGTGCCTACTACATCAAATAACAGAAAATGGTCATCATGCGTTTTTATTTTCTCTCTTTACACTTTTTCAGACTGCAAGCTAGCTTTGTTCAATGACCACAAAAGTTTTGTACAGGGTGTGGCGCTTGACCCCCTGAATGAATTTGTCGCCACACTCAGTAGTGACCGGTAAGTCATCATAAACTGATCAGGGCCCCGTTCCACAAAGCCATCTTAGGGCTAAGTTGATTGTAACTCACTAAGTATGCGATCTTAAATTTTTGTTACGATCAGCCGCCTGTTCCACAAAGCAATCTTAACTAAGAGAGTTGTAAGTTAAGATCAAAATGCTAAGTTGCTCCGGACCAACTTAGGATTGCTAAAATTGATCTTAAATATTGTACCATAACAACAAAGATGGCGACTTTTATTATGGTGTTTAAGGAAATGTGTCGTCTGCTAAACATGATCAAGGGAGGCCACTCTAAGGGAAACTGTCGTATCTTCATGGCTGAAGATTCCGGTCTTTGTTAAGATCGGCTACTTAAGAACTTGTAAAGTTACATCCGCCCTAAGATCGCTTTGTGGAACGGTTGTAAACTTTAGCTAAGACAATTTTAAAATCGACGTAAGTATCTAAGATTGATTGTAGTTACGATCGCTTTGTGGAACAGGGCCTGACTATCATCTTTAATGTCTGAAAATATTTTCTCTCTAATACAGCAATGAATTTCACAGATAACTGGCCAAAACAATTGTGTATACTACCAACAAAAAGTAAGGGAACATGATTTCATTGTAGCTATTGTTGAGGTGTACATTTACACTACCATGGCGTTGCATATGAGCGCAATATCTAATCCGAATGAAATTTCACATGAACAGCATGTGATGCACACAATGTGTGCGCCCATAGGGAACTCACAATCACTAATGCACTTGAGCTAAAAATGCTAAAAATGCCTGTGAGACAGTATCTCAATGAACAGACAAAATAGGAATTAGGGGTATGATAGAGGAGAGTGGTTGGGACGTCAGTATTCCAAGTTGCCAGAGTGTCTTGCAAATATAAAAGTGTAATTTCTCAATTGTGAGACAAGTACCGTCAAACGGGTGGGGTCGCAATGAGAACTGGGCAAGGCAGGCCTAAAAAAAAGACACCTAGACAAGATCGTTTCACTACATTAATTGCACTATGCAAAAGATTCAAACCTGTTCCTATTTTCAATAGAGAATTCCGTACAATAACAGGAAGGCGAATTTCAACATCTACTGTTAAGAGCCAGCTCTATGCAGCCAGCCTGAAAAGCAAGGCATCCTGGGAAGCACGTGACCCTAACACACAGCTCCAGATAACTTTTTGAGCAATTGAGTTTTTACTCTAGGGTTTCTATTTTAATTGGGCTATTACATTTTTCATTGGCTAACCAATATTTTTTCACTCATCAATTCGTCACACTCTTGGGTTTTTCCTAAAATTAGTGAACATTTTAAGATTTTAAAAAATGAAATAATGTTTTTGGATGTATATAACTATTTTAAATATATAGGCGTGACTCGAAAAGTAACTCGTAATTGCGTTTCGGAAATTAGGTCCTTTGTACACATGCTGAAAAAGCTTCACTGGGTATTTACGCAAGCTGTTTTTATACATTTGAGTTTTTTATTTAATGCATGCGTTTCTGTAGCAAGTTAATTGAAAGTAATTGGGTTTTGAATATTTTGGGGGGATATTTTACGTAAATACGCTGCTTATCTGTAGCTCTGCTAACAGCTTACCATAAGCAGCAAAGATTGGGGTGAACTAGGTAACACACGGGAGGGGCTGTGTGACAATGGTGTTACACCGTGTATAGAGACGAAGCAAGGTTTTGCCCCCAATTCACAGATGGTAGAAAACATTGGCAACGTAAGGGCGAGCGGTATGCCAGGGCAACAATTCTTGACCACGAGGCGTATGGGGGCAGTAGTGTCATGGTGGGGGCAGTATCACACATAGCTGTCGAACTGATTTGGTTATTATGAATTGACATGTGACTGGCCAGTGATATGTTGATGAAATTGTGCGTCCTGTCATTGTTCCATTTGCTAGAATTATCAGCAGAACTTTTGAACTGGAAGATGGCAATGCCAGACCACATCGTTCCGAGGTCTTCACCGATTATCTCCGACAAGAAGGCACATGGACATTAGACTGGCCCACTATGTCCCCTGACATGTCCCCAATACAGCGTCTGTAGGATATACGCGAAAGACCAAGCACCTGCTTTGGGTAACTCTTCAGGCGGAATGGCAGGCAATGCCAAGGGCAACCATGAACTAGTTTATCAACAGTATGCCATCAAGGTGTCACATATTTTGCCCAACACGATGGACGCAGTAAATGATCTACACGCCAAAATTAATTTTACAGACGTTCACTAGCATTTTTCATCAGTTCCCGAATTTTTTGTCGATAGTATATGATGCAAGATCAAACCAATACTAGTAGCAGGGTGGCCATGTTTGCTGTTGTTTTCCAGTGGTTTGGGGAATTGGTTGATATTTCATGAGATTGCATGATTGATTTCATGATTGATTTCTTGATCATGTAGATTGGAGACTGAAACCATATAAAGATTAATCATTGATAAGCTCTACAAATTGGAACACTTTTTCAGTCGTATGTTTTCTATGCCAGGTCGTGCCGGGTGTACAACATGACCAGCAAAACCTGTGTCCACAACACCTCCAAGATGCTCATCCCATCCACGACCTCCGACCCCGAAGTGAAACAGAAGCCTTTCAGGATGTACCACGACGACACCATGGGGTCCTTCTTCCGCCGCCTGGCATTCTCTCCAGACGGCCAGTTTCTCATCACGCCTGCTGGATGTGTGGAGCAAGGAGACAAAGTCACTAACGCTACGTTCATCTTCACAAGGAACTGTCTTTCAAAGTAGGGAACACTCATATATAGGCCTTAAAAATTAAAAGAATTGGTTCCCAGGCAATGACTTTTGCAAATATAGTGTGGGCAGACAGTGTTTGTTTTTATTGTGTGTTTTTTTTTTTGCTTGTTCAAACTAGTATGTAACTAAATAAACAGTTGTGTACCATCAACCTGGGAAAGGGCCTCCCTACATAAACAAGCACACAAACTCCTATTGCTGTCATGACCATAACACAAGATGTACAGTTAAGCAGTGCCCATCTAAAGGGAAGTAACTGTGTGCTATATTGGAACGCATTGTTTTTAAGTATTAGGATTTTTATAAAAAAAATTTAAAATGGAAATAAAAACGAAACATGCGGTGGACTTTATGATGATACGGATGGTGCCTGAGAACCAAGTCTATTAATTTTATTAAGGACTGTACTTAGCCTTAGGTAAAAACAATACAAAATGCCTCGTGATGATTCCTGCTGAGAATTGGTCCCCAGCAGCCTATGCTGGTTGTAAGAGAAGAGGGGCAGTCGGGTAGTCTAGTGGTTAAAGAGTTCGCTCGTTACGCCGAAGACCTGGGTTTGATTCCCGACATGGGTACAATAAGTAAAGCCCATTTCTGGTGACCTTCGCTATGATATTGCTGGAATATTGCTTAAAGCGGCGTAAAACCATACTCACCCACCTGTAAGAGAAGACCAAATGGATCGGGTGGTCAGGCTCACTGACTTGGTTGATTGCGTGTCCTCTGCCCCGATGGCATGGATCAGTGCTCATAATATTAATCACTGGATTGTCTGGTCCAGACCTGATTGTTTACAAACCACTGGATCTTATGGCAGGAGTATTGCAGACTGATGCGTTAAACAAACAACAAATACAATACAAAACTGCTGGTCCACTGGACAAAGACCTGTAAGAAGTAATGAGGACCAGTGGACTGACTGGCTAATAGAAAATCTCACTATGAGATGTAAACATGTTAAAACCTTAAAGAAACTATTTATAACTGATGTGATACAGTTGTCTGGGGAGTAGTATGAAAGACTAGGGTTGTTTCAGTGGCACTGGTTCAGATGACCTCATATGTACATGACTTCTTTCATATGTGAAATCAGGGAAAGTATGAACAAAAGTGAAAACTAGAACTTCCCTCCTATTCTGTTGGGCAATGTCTATATACGCCACCATGTAATATATACCACTACTCAAGTATCGATGACGTCATAGGTGTTGGTGAATCGTTGCAGCCCTAGTAAATATACACTACTCAACATTTGCTAAGGACCAAAATAGTCGTCTTTGGTCAAAGGTGTTCCTTAGTAAATGTTCAGTAGTATATACTACATTGTGTTGAATCTAGTTGTGTATCCTATACCAAATACCATATTTGACATAATAAACGCCCAGGGCCCTCTCACAATTAGAAATAGGGGGCTCTTTTTAGAATATTTTTTTGGCAAAAACACAGACTTGAAAGATGGTCAATTTCATGGTTTATGCTGACAGCCTGAAATGTTTATATACGACAGATATATTTTTCCAGAATTTAATTGCTCGTAATTAAGGGTGCCTAAAACACATGAGTGCATATTACACACGAATAGATCAGTCTTGTGTACATTGATCAATCGGAAGGGGTGCTAATTAGGATTGTTCACTAGCCAATATATTAGCAAATATAGCGGTGGGCGCTTATTAGAGCGGGGTGGTTATTATGTCAAATACGGTAATTAAACTATCGTTTTTCACAGGCCAGCATTGTACTTACAAAGTCCACAGAAGCCTACAATTGCTGTCCGACCATGCCCTCAACTCTTTGAACTGAGGAAAGTTGATAATAAAAATATAAAGGGTAAGAAATCTTGATTTATATTTTGTACAATAATCAGGATCAGACCTTTTGCTCCTGTACAAGAACATCATTTATCAAAGTCACTGCATCCCTTGGAGTCAATTTATCAGTGTCAAGAGGGAAATAGTTTTATTTTTTATTTTGTATCTATAAATGTTTGACAAAAAGATTGACTTGATGATGAAACTTTTATAGTCAGGATTATTGGCTCAGAACAGAGGTAACTGATGATGTGTCTTTGCTTGCGTGATTTTGTGTAAGAAGTGTCAGAAATAATTGATATTATTTTTTGCTGCATTTTATAACTGTTTGATATATATGACTAATTTGATTCAAATGATGCATTGTTGTAGACCAAGAAAACAACGATCTTAAAGAATGGGAGAAATATTCCACATTATTTTGGTGAGTCATCTATGTCTGTTTTCCCCATCAGGGATTCCCTGACAAAGGAGGCTGTATATGCTTGTCTTCTATGAGAATCCCCCTCGAGGGGAGCCCGGGTTAGAAAAGGTCCCCACCAGTCTGTGCTGGTCGTCAGAGCCGACGTAATGGATCGAGTGGTCAGGTTGAATTGGTTGATGGCGTGCCATTAAACCCTGATGGCGTGGATCGTTGTTCACAATATCCATCACTGGACTGTCTGGTCCTGACTTGATTATTTACAGTCTGGCAATATGTAACTAGAAAATTGCTGAGTGCTGCGTTAAACAGCAAGCAGACGATAGATGAGAATCAGGTGGTCTTCATCGGATGCTAATGGCATGGACAATTGTTATTGCTTTGATTGTTTCCTGGCCACTTTGATATAACTGGAATACTGCTGGCGGAAGGACAAGACAGGTTAAACAACCTTCGATCTTAAGGGTAGATAGAGACCCTGTGAAGATCCGGGGTAGAATAGTACTTCAGCAACCCATACTTGCCGTAAAAGGCGACTATGCTTGTCGTAAGAGGTAATTAATGGAATCGGGTGGTCAGGGTCGCTGACTTGGTTGATGCATGTCATCGTATCCCAAATGTGTGGATCGATGCTCATGATGTCAATTACTGGATTGTCTGGTCCAGACTCGATTATTTACAGACCCCTGTCATATAGCTGTAATATTGCTGAGTGCGACGTTAAACAACAATAAACAAACAAACAAACTTAAGGGTTGAAATGTTGATTCATAACTATCCATGAGCTATCAGCGATTCCCAATACTGACTGATCAGTTGAAGTGCTTCGTTGTTGAGGACAATACAATGTGAAGGCATCCATTGATATAACGTTTCGCCAGAATTTGACCACAGTTGCCAGTAATTGTTCATATGCATATTATCATTGAAGGTTATTGTTGTAAGACTATATCCTTCCATGACTTTATTACTTGGCACAGGCGTAGGTGGTCTAGTCATCAAGGTGCAGCAATTCGCTGTGCATAATCTCATCACTTGGGCACACCAGAAATCTATTATCGTGGGTTCAAATCCACGTTCGCCCTGATTATGTTTCTAGGTTTGTAAGCACCAAACCCCTGCTCGTGGGTTTCACCAAAGCTTCAGCTTTCCTCCCACATTAAGCTGACAAGCCGTGATATAAGTGGTACACTGTTCAAAGTAGGTTAAACCCAACTCACTCACTCATTCACTCACTCACTCATTTTGTCATATGTCAAACAAAGGTAAAAGGTCAAGGTCACAAGGTAGAAAGAACTCCCTAAAGAGTTGGTGGTTATACAAAAGTATCAATGTGTTATGTATTGGAGAAAACACGCTTACAAGGCTTTGCTAAACAGAGCATGCCCTGGGGGTCGGGAAAAACCGCGGGGGCTTCGCCTCCTTGGTTTTTCCCTCTCCCCAGGGCATGCTCTGTCTACCAAAACCGAGGGAAAGTGTTTTTCCATACTTATAAACCGAAAAAAGAAATTTAAAACAACATTTATCAAAATTTTTATGTTTCGAACATACTTACCATGAACCTTAGGAAACGCACGTAAAATATCTGTTGCTGGTGTACGGATCTTGAAAAGGACATTCTTAAAACCAGTGAGGCTTATCAACACCTCTGTACCCTCGTGGTACACTCACTGGGCTACAGATATGAAGGTTGCAAGTTCGATCCTCGGGAATATAAAGAAAACATTTGTCGTTTGATTTTACATTTCATTACATGTTACAATCTGAACGGAAGTTACATTAATAAAACACCCAGGACATTATATAAAATCCCTGGGATATTATAGCAAATATGACTTGAATATCCTATAAAATCCCTAGGATATGTTAAAAATCCCAGGGATATTATATAAAATCCCAGGGACATTACAACGTCCCTGTTTATGAGACTTAACCCGACTGGAAAGTAAAACCTTACAATAGGTTTTAATGCCTATAGAAAGAAGTCTCTTACTTAATAGCGATCCAAATGAATAGGTTTATAAACTAGGTATATGCCTCTCTAAGATGGGGGCCTGCCTGCTTTGGTCAAGAAAAATCAGAAGTCAAGGTTAGCGTTCAGGTTTTTGTAAAATGTGGTGATATCATTTTCAGTTTCTGTAACAAGGTTATCTCAACATGAATGAAACTTGTTATTTGTGTGCATCTTAAATCCTACCCCATCATGTCTATAGTTTTTTTAGTCACAGGTCAAGGTTATCTTAAAGGTAATTGTGTAAAGTAGTTGTATCATTCATTGCCAACTTCTGTTTTACGTTCAAATGAACAATCAAGTGACTTTGAAATTGTAGCTCAAGTATATTTCAATTAAGTCAAGGTCACTACCAAGGTCACAGCAATTTGGAGTCATTAAGCTGTTTATATGGGTTAATTGAATTCTGCAGCTGAGTGATGAGATATTATTTTTTTTAACCATAAAAGCCTTTGATCATGCCAGTATTGGTTCGAAGAGGTTAAAAAAATACCATTGCCCGACAGTCACTTTTACCAGTCAGGCAAGCTATCCTCATCACTGATGCACTGAAGTGCACGGTTGTACGGCCTGATTATGGGGGCTTTCAGGAAATGGCAGTGAAGCGTCTGCCTGTTTTTGCAAGTAATTGCAAACTACGTTGAACTTACACTTATGACTGTTTTCAATCCTTGGTAAATATATTCGGCCCCAGGTCTTTAGCATATGTTGGTAAAAACTTCCAAATTGGATGAATACTTTTTAAATTCTCGTTCAGATGTGAGCTCCAGAGATTCATACTTAGTTTTACATTGTAATATTAATTGGATTGGAAGCAAAGAATATGTTAAGAGAAGGACAAAGAAATCCAAAACACTTTGAAAATCATCTCCAGTTGAGACAAAATAGCACTTGATGTACCAATTACCTGGCATGGGCACTCCTGGAATGGTACCTATTTCTTCTTCAAAGGTGTCTGTCCAGATTGTATATACCATATTCGACGTAATAAGCGCCCAGGGCGCTCTCAAAATTAGAAATAGGGGGCTCTTATTTGAATATTACTTTGGTGGAAAAAACAGAGTTGAAAGAAAAATTTCGTGGTTTATGCTGACAGTCTGAAATGTTTATATACGACAGATATATTTTTCCAGAATTTAATTGCCCATAATTAAGTGTGCATATAACACACGAGTGCGTATTATACACAAATAAATAAGTCTTGTGTACATTTATCAATCGGAAGGGGTGCTGATTGGGATTGTTCACTTGCCAATATATTAGCAAATATCGCCGTGGGTGCTTATTAGAGCGGGGCGCTTATTACGTCGAATTACGGTATATATAAGTTTACCAAGTACCGGAAATTTGTTGTTATGTTTTGCTGAGCCACTTCCTATAGCAGCCTTCACAGGGCTTGGAGAGGTTTATGAATGTCATAAACAGACTTGAAAATACTACTTACCTTTGGTAATTAAAGCGTTTGACCTAGAAATGCACTGGAATGTCAAGAAGAACTCCTTCAAATTCCTTTCAAAGTACGGTTAAATTCAAATTCTTCAAAAAACATAATTGGTGCAATGATTGCAAAAAATATCAGACATACTTTTTGTACAATTTGATATTTATTTGAAGTGGGCATCTGTTACAAGTCCAGGATACCCTACATAAGCTGACAGTTTGATTTGCAGTGGTGAACTATTGTATATATACACACGGAAAGAAGTTAAACACCACCTATATATTTACCATGTAGAATTGTCATGTTTTAGAATTGTATCCTGTGTTACATTTCTGACAAAACACTTTAATACACAGTGTGACATACACATGTTGACATACAGAACAGAATCCGAGTATGAAGCAATACAGATGTGACGACCCAGTCTGCTGCTTCCTCAGCTTCTTCCCATCATATGATGTGACCTTGGCCTTTTGACCTTGGCCTTGGCCTTTTGATTTTGGCCTTGTGACCTTGGCCTTGTGACCTTGTACTTGTGACTGTCTGAAGCAATTCTGATTTTGGACATTTATGAAAGAGATCCATGTCATATGGAGATATTTCTAAGAGAGAGTTTTGAGTAATTGAAGGGCCTTTATCCATCTGTGTTTGCTTTGTTAAAGTAAGTGAGGGTATTTATTGTAGGGGTGGGGCGGGCCAGTGGAATTGGTCTTACAACTGTATCATGCTCTGCTGACACACATACACAATTTTTTCATGACCCCCTCTAATATAAATATCTCTCTTTATATATATCATGCCATGTAATTAAGAAATGAATCCTTGTAACATTTTCAGCTGCGTCAACACTGTCGTGTATTCTGTGCTATGGGCCTGTGGCCTTACAGTTATATATAAATAAAGTGAATTGAATTGACATGTTAAAGCAGTTGAGTGGGGATTTGTTTTTCAAATTTCATGCCTTTTCCCTTGTTTGAAACAGAATTTTAAAGTCTGTTGAATCATTGAGGAGTCTATTAAATCATTTGGGATTCTTTTGAATCGCTCAGCAAGCTGTTGAATCGTTCAGGAATCTATTGAAACTTCAGGAGTCTAATGAATCATCCAGGAGTCTTGTGAATCGCTCAGCAGTCTGTTGAATCATTTAGAATTCTGTTGAATCGCTCAGCATTTTGTTGAATCATTCAGGATTCTATTGAATCATCCAGAAGTCTAGTAAATCGTTCAGGAGTCTGTCTGCACATGTTACATTCTGTTTCAGTTTACCATACCGAGTTGTGTTCGCTGTTGTGTCTGAAGACGCTGTGCTGTTGTACGACACCCAGCAGACGACCCCCATCGCCTACATCGGCAACACGCACTACCTGCAGATGACGGACATCACATGGTTGGTCCTCTCTCCCTACTGGCTGGTCATGTTTCACTTACAGACGCCAACCACACATTTGGTGGAACCCTTACGATATTTATGCAATTCTAGCAATCCGATAAGTAATAAATATCACAAATTTCCGCCAAAAAAACCATCACCAGTGATTTGATTTAGTTATTGATTTGACAGTGATTGTGGTGGTGGGATAGCCTAGTGGTTAAAGCGGATGCTCATCGCACCAAAGGCACAGGTTCGATTCCCCACATGGGTACATGTTCCCCGTCGTGATAATCCTGGAATATAACTAAAAGCGCCGTAATACTCACTCACTTATGGTGGTTGAGGTGCGTGAAAAAAACCATGTTGGTTAAAAGACGCATAAATATACAATATGGTCATGCGATTATGTATCGGCCACTCACATCATACTTTCACCGAAGTGGTAAACGTCTGAGACCTGTATCACTTCGGGCTTTCCTCCCACATTAAGCTGACACGCCGTGATATAACTGTAATACTGTTAAAAGCGGTGTTAAGCACAACTCACTCACTCACATCATACTTTTATGAAAAAAGCTTTTTGTGTGTAATAATAATAGTAACCATAATAATAATAATAAAAATAATGCTATAGCTCAAAATTCCACATCAATGAGGGACATACCCTCATACATAATGTATCACGTTGTGTAAGTTAATTACCAAAGACATTGTCACTCAGTCTTGCCTGGCCAAGTTTACAGATTTTTAGGAGTTCAGGCAATATAATATATGAATTTTTTATTTTTTTTGACAAAAGAATACTGTCTGTCATGTAATGATGGAGAGTAAATTGTTGTGTTTTTGTCAGTTATGTACTAATTCTAGACCCCAAGACCCCCGATATAGCTAATTGCCAGAAAACAGGGTTTGTATTGCTCGTTCACTGTCATCCCAACGGCGCAGTAAACACTGTTTGTTTTTGTCAAGACAGATAATTCCTTCCCCTTTTCTTGTTTTTCTTTTGATATCTTCTTTGCATCTTGTGTTTAGACAAGGCTTTTTAAAAAAATGGCTTTGGATTCTTCCCAAACTAAAAAAATATAAAGTAAAAACAAAAGAATCCCTACTGCACGGATCGATGCTTATGATGTCAATCACTGGATTGTCTGGTCCAGTCTCGATTATTTACAGACTGCCGTCCTATAGCTGGAATGTTGTTGAGTGCAGCTTTAAACAACATGCAAACAAATCAGGACTCGGCCTGGAAAGACAAAATTCAAAAGTACTATATATTTTATTATAAAATTTCCATGAACCTCCCAAAACGTGTGTATTTTTTTTATGGCCCTCCCCTAGAGACTGCTGTTTGTTTGGTCTCTCTGCCCTTATTCCCCCTGTAGATAGATGTAGTACTTTGTTCCTCACCATGAGGCTGTGGTAGCCTAGTGGTTAAAGCATTTGCTTGTCACCCCAAAAGTCCAGGTTCAGTTCCCCCACATGGGTTCCTCTAATGATGAGGGGGTACGGGTGGCCCAGTCGTCTAAGGCGCCGCGATTCGCTGTGCAGAGTTGCGTCCCTTGGGCACGCCAGAAACCTATGATTGTAGGTTCGAATCTTGGTTCGCCCCAATTATGTTTCTAGGTTTGTCAGCACCATACCCGTGCTCGTGGGTTTCACCGAAGTGGTTAACGTCTGAGACCTGCATCACTTCGGGCTTTCCTCCCACATTAAGCTGACACGCCGTGATATAACTGGAATAATGTTAAAAGCGGCGTTAAACCCAACTCACTCACTCACTCTAATGATGTACTGCTCCATGGTATGGAACCTAGGCACTATACAGATTATTGTTATTATAACATTGCTAAAAGAGGATGTAAGACCACACTTCACTCACCATTCCTGATCCTTGAATACAATTGAATATAATTAAATACAACCCTTTGATAATGAATTATCCCCAACATTATTCCATTAAGTAGAATATTCCTTACCATCTTGCCAGACTTGCACAGATAAGTGTTATGAGTGTCTGAGAGATATGTTTTTGATGTTCTCAGAGACCATCATTTCTGGCTAATTTAAACTTGTTTTTGAGAAAATGGGTAAAAAATCAAAGGGTAGAGTTTTAAGCGCAGCTTTTGCATTAATAAAAACTCTGATAACGTGAAGTGTTCTTCACATAGATGTTTTAATGACTCCATAAAAAGTGACCAGAAAAATGCCCAAAGGATATAAAAACCTGTAAATAGTTTCTTTGTGAAAGAAAACAGACTGCTGCTTTTTGAAAAGAACCGTCATAACTTCGTGATGTTTGAGTGTTTTTTCTGTGTTTTTAAGAGTCAATGTTCTTCACCTCCCAAGTTGAGATATTAGTTTCGTGGTCCCCAGAATGTCAATAGATCAGCAAAATGTGACTCTCCATGTCCTCTCCTGTTTCCTGTATTCCTGCCAGTGATGATACGTCCATGCTACAGGCACATGTGGTGCCGCCATCTGACGTCCCTGACGATGTGGTGCATGGGGCCATCTGAGGCAGACATCACTCAGAGTAAAGTAGCACCTGAGTGATAAACTTCAAATATTATGTGTGATATATTTCTTGTGGAGTTGTCTGAAATATAATCCTGGAGTTGTCCTTGATATATTCCTTGTGTGGTCGGTGACACAATCCTAGAGTTGTCTTTGATATATTCCTAGAGCTGTCTTTGATATATTCCTGGAGTTTTCTTTGACATATTCCTAGAGTTTTCTTTGATATATTCCTGGAGTTGTCATTGATATATTACTGCAGTTGTCTTTGATATATTTCTAGAGTTGTCTTTGATATATTCCTGGAGTTGTCTTTGATATATTCCTGGAGTTGTCAGCGATATATTCCTGCAGTTGTCTTTGATATATTTCTAGAGTTGTCTCTGATATATTTCTAGAGTTGTCTTTGATATATTCCTAGAGTTGTCTTTGATATATTCCTGGAGTTGTCTTTGATATATTCCTGGAGTTGTCAGCGATATATTCCTGCAGTTGTCTTTGATATATTTCTAGAGTTGTCTTTGATATATTCCTGGAGTTGTCAGTGATATATTCCTGGAGTTGTCAGTGATATATTCCTGCAGTTGTCATTGATATATTCCTAGAGTTGTCTGTGATATATTCCTGGAGTTGTCTTTGATATATTCCTAGAGTTGTCTTTGATATATTGCTGGAGTTTTCTTTGATATATTCCTGGAGTTGTCAGTGATATATTCCTTCAGTTGTCTTTGATATATTCCTGGAGTTGTCAGTGATATATTCCTGGAGTTGTCAGTGATATATTCCTGCAGTTGTCTGTGATATATTCCTAGAGTTGTCTGTGATATATTCCTGGAGTTTTCTTTGACATATTCCTAGAGTTGTCAGCGATACATTCCTGCAGTTGTCTTTGATATATTTCTAGAGTTGTCAGTGATATATTCCAGGAGTTGTCAGTGATATATTCCTGCAGTTGTCATTGATATATTCCTAGAGTTGTCTGTGATATATTCCTGGAGTTGTCTTTGATATATTCCTAGAGTTGTCTTTGATATATTCCTGGAGTTGTCAGTGATATATTCCTGCAGTTGTCTTTGATATATTTCTAGAGTTGTCTTTGATATATTCCTGGAGTTTTCTTTGACATATTCCTAGAGTTGTCTTTGATATATTCCTGGAGTTGTCAGCGATACTTTCCTGCAGTTGTCTTTGATATATTTCTAGAGTTGTCTTTAATATATTCCTGGAGTTGTCAGTGATATATTCCAGCAGTTGTCATTGATATATGCCTAGAGTTGTCTTTGATATATTCCTGCAATTGTCTTTGATATATTCCTGGAGTTGTCTTTGATATATTCCTGGAGTTGTCAGTGATATATTCCTGGAGTTGTATTTGTTATATTCCTGGAGTTGTCTGTGATATATTCCTGGAGTTGTCTGTGATATATTCCTAGAGTTGTCTTTGATATATTCCTAGAGTTGTCTTTGATATATTCCTGGAGTTTTCTTTGACATATTCCTAGAGTTGTCTTTGAAATATTCCTGGAGTTGTCAGTGATATATTCCTACAGTTGTCTTTGATATATTTCTAGAGTTGTCTTTGATATATTCCTAGAGTTGTCTGTGATATATTCCTGGAGTTTTCTTTGACATATTCCTAGAGTTGTCAGCGATACATTCCTGCAGTTGTCTTTGATATATTTCTAGAGTTGTCAGTGATATATTCCTGGAGTTGTCAGTGATATATTCCTGCAGTTTTCTTTGACATATTCCTAGAGTTGTCTGTGATATATTCCTGGAGTTGTCTTTGATATATTCCTAGAGTTGTCTTTGATATATTCCTGGAGTTGTCAGTGATATATTCCTGCAGTTGTCTTTGATATATTTCTAGAGTTGTCAGTGATATATTCCTGGAGTTGTCAGTGATATAATCCTACAGTTGTCCTTGATATATTCCTGGAGTTGTCTTTGATATATTCCTAGAGTTGTCTTTGATATATTCCTGGAGTTGTCAGTGATATATTCCTGCAGTTGTCTTTGATATATTTCTAGAGTTGTCTTTGATATATTCCTGGAGTTTTCTTTGACATATTCCTAGAGTTGTCTTTGATATATTCCTAGAGTTGTCTTTGATATATTCCTGGAGTTTTCTTTGACATATTCCTAGAGTTGTCTTTGATATATTCCTGGTGTTGTCAGTGATATATTCCTACAGTTGTCTTTGATATATTTCTAGAGTTGTCTTTGATATATTCCTGGAGTTGTCATTGATATATTCCTGGAGTTGTCTTTGATATATTCCTGCAATTGTCTTTGATATATTCCTGGAGTTGTCTTTGATATATTCCTGGAGTTGTCAGTGATATATTCCTGGAGTTGTATTTGTTATATTCCTGGAGTTGTCTGTGATATATTCCTGGAGTTGTCTGTGATATATTCCTACAGTTGTCTTTGATATATTCCTAGAGTTGTCTTTGATATATTCCTGGAGTTTTCTTTGACATATTCCTAGAGTTGTCTTTGATATATTCCTGGTGTTGTCAGTGATATATTCCTACAGTTGTCTTTGATATATTTCTAGAGTTGTCTTTGATATATTCCTGGAGTTGTCATTGATATATTCCTGGAGTTGTCTGTGATATATTCCTGGAGTTGTCAGCGATACTTTCCTGCAGTTGTCTTTGATATATTTCTAGAGTTGTCTTTAATATATTCCTGGAGTTGTCAGTGATATATTCCAGCAGTTGTCATTGATATATGCCTAGAGTTGTCTTTGTTATATTCCTGGAGTTGTCTGTGATATATTCCTGGAGTTGTCTGTGATATATTCCTGGAGTTGTCTGTGATATATTCCTGGAGTTGTCTTTGATATATTCCTGGAGTTGTCTTTGTTATATTCCTGGCATTGTCTTTGATATATTCCTGGCATTGTCAGTGATATATTCCTGGAGTTGCCTGTGATGTATTCCTGGAGTTGTCTGTGATATATTCCTGGAGTTGTCTGTGATGTATTCCTGGAGTGTCTTTGATATATTCCTAGCATTGTCAGTGATATATTCCTGGAGTTGTCTGTGATATAGTCCTGGAGTTGTCTTTGATATATTCCTGGCATTGTCAGTGATATATTCCTGGAGTTGTCAGTGATGTATTCCTGGAGTTGTCTGTGATGTATTCCTGGAGTTGTCTGTGATGTATTCCAGGAGTTGTCAGTGATATATTCCTGGAGTTGTCAGTGATGTATTCCTGGAGTTGTCTGTGATGTATTCCTGGAGTTGTCAGTGATGTATTCCAGGAGTTGTCAGTGATATATTCCTGGAGTTGTCTGTGATGTATTCCAGGAGTTGTCAGTGATGTATTCCTGGAGTTGTCTGTGATGTATTCCTGGAGTTGTCTGTGATGTATTCCTGGAGTTGTCTGTGATGTATTCCAGGAGTTGTCAGTGATATATTCCTGGAGTTGTCTGTGATGTATTCCAGGAGTTGTCAGTGATGTATTCCTGGAGTTGTCTGTGATGTATTCCTGGAGTTGTCTGTGATGTATTCCAGGAGTTGTCAGTGATATATTCCTGGAGTTGGTTAATAATGCATGGATGTTCAGGAATCTAAGGTGAAGTGTGCTGTCTGTCTTACACAGGGAGCTGTGAGTGACAAGTGAAGATACAACACTTGCTTAAAGCAATTTGGATTAGCTTCTTGTTTTTGTTTTCATATTTAGTTGAAATCATTATCTTCAAAAAGTCCCCCACAAACCATTTTTTTCCCAAGCATCCAGAGCATAAAGAAAACATCAAAATACATTCTAAATTAGAATCCCCTCAGCATGTTCCTCCGGTGTATGAGGTCACGTTTGTATGTCAGTATTAACCTTCTCTTGCCAGTGATGATACGTCCATGCTACAGGCACATGTGGTGCCGCCGTCTGACATCCCTGACGATGTGGTGCATGGGGCCAGCTGAGGCAGCTAGAAATATTGCTAAATGTTTTGTAATACCAACTGAAACTTACCTGAAGAAACAGACTGTCCTGGACATGGCATAGAGTAAAAGAGAAACATTAAAATTTACCCTTCGTGGCCTCAAAGCAGAAGCATGTTTCATATCTCTTAGTGTTCAGGTACATTGGGACTGAGAAAAAACTCACTGAGATCTCAGATAAGTTCCATGGTGTCAAATTGCTGACTGAACAAAAATGTTAAAATCCCTTTGTGTCTCCTACAAGCCGATCCAGACACCAAGGTACTGTAAATCTTGAAATTAACGCGAGCATGGATTAAATGCGAAAAAATGCGTTTGGTCTTTGTTCGCATTAATGAAACTTCGCATTTATGTCTCCAAAATGACTATCAACAATAAGTCGGCCTCACTGCACACTTTGGAGTTGTCAGTGATATATTCCTGGAGTTGTCTGTGATGTATTCCTGGAGTTGTCTGTGATATATTCCTGCAATTGTCTTTGATATATTCCTGGAGTTGTCTGTGATGTATTCCTGGAGTTGTCATGATATATTCCTGGAGTTGTCTGTGATATATTCCTGCAATTGTCTTTGATATATTCCTGCAATTGTCTTTGATATATTCCTGGCATTGTCAGTGATATATTCCTGGAGTTGTCCTTGATATATTGCTGGAGTTGTCTGTGATGTATTCCTGGAGTTGTCATGATATATTCCTGGAGTTGTCTGTGACATATTCCTAGAGTTGTCAGTGATATATTCCTGGAGTTGTCAGTGATGTATTCCTGGAGTTGTCTGTGATGTATTCCTGGAGTTGTCTGTGATATATTCCTGCAATTGTCTTTGATATATTCCTGGAGTTGTCTGTGATGTATTCCTGGAGTTGTCATGATATATTCCTGGAGTTGTCAGTGATATATTCCTGCAATTGTCTTTGATATATTCCTGGCATTGTCAGTGATATATTCCTGGAGTTGTCTGTGATGTATTCCTGGAGTTGTCATGATATATTCCTGGCATTGTCTTTGATATATTCCTGGAGTTGTCAGTGATATATTCCTGGAGTTGTCAGTGATGTATTCCTGGAGTTGTCTGTGATATATTCCTGGAGTTGTCTGTGATATACTCCTGGTGTTGTCAGTGATATATTCCTGGAGTTGTCAGTGATGTATTCCTGGAGTTGTCTGTGATATACTCCTGGAGTTGTCAGTGATGTATTCCTAGAGTTGTCTGTGATGTATTCTTGGAGTTGTCTGATATAGTCCTGGAGTTGTCATGATATGTGGGAGCTACTGAGTGGTTCATAATGCATGGATGTTCAGGAATCTAAGATGAAGTGTGCTGTCTGTCCTACACAGGGAGCTGTGAGTGACCAATGAAGATACAACACTTGCTTAAAGCAATTTGGATTATCTACTTCTTTTTGTTATAATTTTTTGTTGAAAATCATTATCCTCTAAAAGTCCCCCACAAACCATTTTTTCACAAGCATCCAGAGCATAAAGAAAACATCAAAATACATTCCAAATTAGAATCCCCTCAGCATGTTCCTCCGGTGTATGAGGTCACGTTTGTATGTCAGTATTAACCTACTCTTGCCAGTGATGATACGTCCATGCTACAGGCACATGTGGTGCCGCCGTCTGACGTCCCTGACGATGTGTTGCATGGGGCCATCTGAGGCAGCTAGAAATATTGCTAAAAGTTTTGTAATACCAACTGAAACTGTTAGAAAGCTCACTTGAGTCTCACTTTGAGTTGTACAACATGTTATTATTTGCTCTAAAGGACTTAAAAAGGCCTTAAATGTTTTTTTGCATTAACAATGGAGTGGCAGGTGCTTGATATGTTCCTTGGTGCCGTTGTTCAAAACAACCTTAGCGCTACAACTGTAGTAAGTCTATGTTAAGGTATGGGAGTTACAATCACCTTAGCGCTAAGATCGCTTTGTACAATGGCACCCTGGTGTTTTCAGTAAGATGTAGAGGGTCGTGCAGTGTTGGAGACACCAGTGTAAGGAAGTCGATGCTTGGCTGTCCCTGCAGCGTTAAAGAACAAACAAACAAATCATTGTATTGTGACTAAGCATTCCAGAGAGACGTCTGTCTTTCAGCTGTTTGAGTACTCACAAAGAAATTGCTACCATAAATGACCATTGTCTAATTCTACCATGAAGTTGGCCAATCACAATCAAGCATGTTCTTATCATAAGTTTCAAATCCAAATAACCACCTCTAACTGTAACAATGATTTGAAGATGCATCACTGCAAGTGACCCAGCCCTACACTGAAAACGGTATGTTTATCTCCTAATTTGACACTGCTCTCTTCTCTGCAGGTCCAGCAATGGTCGGATACTGGTGGCATCCTCTTCGGATGGCTTCTGCACGCTGGTGACATTTGACGAGGGGGAGCTTGGGGTCCCCTACGTCCCCGAGGAGAAACAAGCAGATGTGAAGGACTCAGAATCTTCATCTGATGCTCCAAGCATCGACCTCAAGTCAGAATCTCGCTTGCGGACGGAGCCAGTGGCGAAGATGGCCCAGCGGACCACAAGCCCGAATAAATTGGTATGAACGGAAGTTGTCATACAAACTCTTCCAGTTTCTGAAACTTTTCTTGAGAAACACGGCACACAAGCTTTAAGAGGTCTTGCACGTAGATTCTGTCTTGACAAGGCATTGAAGGTGGATAGTGTGCCTTGAAAAGGAAGAGAATTTTAAGTTTATGCCCACCTCAAGTGTACTACTTAAATATAAACCTTTCTTGCCAAAGTTTGAAAAAAACCTGTTGAAATCTGAAAAATAATGCTGTAAAAGCAAACAATGTTCAACAGCAAGTGGATGGACGGGTACTTTGTGTGAGAGAATTTGACCCTGATCATTGGTAGTTGGAAGATTTTACATTGAGTGGAGGGGGCTGAAAGCTCACATCATGTATTGACAAGAGAGTGAAGTAGACAGGTCTTGCAAAGAAAGAAACATCAAACAAGATCAGATTTTAAAAAGGATTAAGAAAATCGCAGTGATTGAGGTGGCATTTTGTGTCCATGACTGTGATTGTTTCTTCAAGACACCATCATCTGCCACCATTGTTGGTGATGTTTTTGAAAATAAAACTATTCGAAATGAGGAGTCTTTGATGTTTGCTCCTGTAATATTTGAATCTTGGCCTTAAAATCTTTGTCATAAGGGCAATGACAATGTCTATTGATTTTAAAGTCTTAGTTTCAAACACTAAAACATTTGACATCAAAGACTGCTGTTCCAAATGTGATGATACTCTGAATGGTCTGTTTATTACCATGACAGTCTGAACTTATAAAGATTAAGGAATATTAGTTGCATGATTCTCACAGTGTAATGGTTGGGTTTTTTTCAGTTTGAAGGTTAAGGTGCTTGAAATGTTTTCAAATCCATTTAGTCTGTGTAATGTGTTTGAAATGTGAGGGAAATGGCACGACAATGTTCAAATGAAATAAATGGTAGCAGACAAATCTAGGGCTCGTGCCTAGTGTGTTCTAGGGCTCCAGGATAATGCAGGGAACGAGGCGGCAGGTTTTTAGAGTATTTTATCTAAGGTTCTTGCAGTTCTGGAAAGTGTATGTGAAAATGGGTTATATCAAAGAATTTTATGAAACCGATTTGGAGAAGAATCTGAAGTGAAAAAATACTGAACAGCATGTCTTTGATAAAATTAGGTGAAGATTTGCAACAGCATCCTCATCCTTGATTGTCTAGGGTACCGGTATTATGTCCGGTCTGCTTGGATACATACCCTGGACTGATTCACAACCCCAGCTTCATACCCATGCTAAGAGGTTTCACCAGAGTGGTAACAATCTGAGACCTGCATCATTTTCGGCTTTCCTCCCACATTAAATAGAAACACCTTGACATAACTGATATAAACTCACTCATTACCATTGCTTCAATTTTGCCTGTATAGATTTAAGAGTCAGCTACAGCTTTTCATAACCCTCGTTGATCTAGTGTTACTACATTTCGGGATCGGGTCTTCAGGGTCGCTGACTTGGTTGATGCATGTCATCTTATCCCAATTGCGTGGATTGATGTTCATGATGTCAACCACTGGACTGTCTGGACCAGATTTACAGACCGCCGTCATATAGCTGTTATATTGCTGAGTATGGCATTAAACAACAAACAAACAAAACCTCAGTGGGCTAGAATGTGAGGACATTCAAGTTAAAGACAACAATAACGTGGATTCTTGGTACCATGTCTAAATGATTGTGTGTCTTGTATACCCAGAACAATGACTGCTGTCGAGTGCAGCATTAAACAACAAACAAAACAAACATTTTCAACTTGTCCAGGGTTTTACCTTGACGAACCAGGTGACCACCGCCTCTTAATTTCAAGGGTCCTTTCAGGAAGTATGAGTGTCCTGTGAAGGATTGAAATGGTGTATGTACTGTAAGATTTGATATTTGTTTTACTTACCGAATCTTTTTCTTTCTTGTCAAGAGTTTGGTAAACTGAACATTATTGTGCATCCCTTGGGCGATCTTAGCGCTAAGATGATCGTAACTCCCATACTTTAACATAGGCTTACAATAGTCTTAGCGCTAAGATGATTGTAACTCCCATACTTTAACATAGGCTTACAATAGTCTTAGCGCTAAGATCGCTTTGTGCAAGTGGGCCCTGGACAGACAATTGTGTGTCTTGTAACACCCTGCAAGTCCTTATGAACTTGAAACTTTCTGAATGTAGCCCCAGCAAAGATGTCTCATAAAGGTGCTCACTAATCCATGAGTTACTGATTCTTGGGGCTTTAAGTCTCCGTAATGTAACAGACAGTGTTTTCATTTTCTCCAGAAATCCCCGCCAGAAGTTGCTGCGATGGAAGTAGACACTGGAAGCGAGGACCTTATTCTCATTCTGGACGACACAACAAATGATGCCTCTGGCTTAGACAAGTCTCACAGCAGTGATACAAGCAGAAGTGGAGACACTCAGACAACATCTGACAAGATGGATACTGGGAACAACAAGAGTAAAGACGAGGTTCCCCCCACAAGTAGCAATATAGCCGTGAAACCAATGAACACTAAGATGAAATCCCCTGAAAATGGGTCTGGACTTGCTGTGAAACCCGTTGCTGGCTCAAGTGGTACAACGGCTGGGAGTAAGCCGAAGCGTATTCAGTTCCAGACAATATCCCTTCTCAAGCCTAAGTGAGATTATTTTATGAAAATGAGCAACTACTAAAAGAAACATGATGTATCGAAGGAGAGATTGATTAGCCAATCTACAGAGCATATTTTCAGCATGTTTTTTCTGTGTAAGAGAGACGTCACGCTGTTAGATCAATCAGTTTATGTCTGGAACTGAAAAAAACCAAAAGGTTTCTTGTTAATTGCCAGATTCCTAGTTTGGCAGACAGACATATTTGTAAGAGATGTGCAACTCAAGTGCTTTATGATCTTGGAGGATTTTATACACATTGTCAGTGTGAAATGGATTTTTAAGATAAAATTCAATTTTCCCAACTGTGTTGTCTGTTTGATTAAATGCTTGGATGGAGTATTGCACTCATAGCCTATTGGTTTTGTGGAGCGAAATATTATTCAGAATTTCTTTATTTCAGAGCTCAGAATCAGATACTTTTCCAGCATGTGCTCAAAATAATTGATGTCATCCGATTAGAAAGATATTTAATTTGTGAAATAACGGTATCAGTTCACATCAAGATATTCATCATTATTGAATGCTTGCAGTGGGCGTTTGAAATACAGGGATGTTTCACACTCACTTCATTTTCACATCATGGGTTACAAGAGTTTCAGATCCTGTACCGCCTCCCTCGTGCTCTAGTGGTCTGCCGGAGAGCCGAAGGCAGGGGTCTTGTCATTAAGGGGCTAAAAGAAGGACTGGTCGGCTCTGAGTCAGTATACTGTGTCTGAGTGGGGTATTCATGTTAAACTGCGGCATGGTATCTCAGTGGATTGGCACTATAAAACTGGCATCACTCTGGACGGGTACAAGCTGCCACAGTCACACATGCAGTAATCATGAACACAACATTTCACCAAACCTCATGTTCAGAGCATGTGCCTTTTTATATTCAGGGAATTGTTTTCTAAGCTGTTAGGGTTGGTTGGGTGGTCGAAATGAAAATAATGTTTAGAAAACTTATTGTTTATCCCTTACCATACTGAAGTTAAAAGCCATACTCATTTTGATTGGTTGATGAAGAGAAATGCTGTGATTTGTGATAAGAGAGGTAGAGAAATTAAAATATGGTGGCTAAGAGGTTGTCATAACAGAATGGAGATCTTTAGGATCATTGTGGTTTTGAGGAAATCTTCATTCTGTAGTCAATACACTAATTAAAGGATGGTGTATTCAAATGTTGGCTGCTCTAGAATCGCTCATGGCCGTTATTGTCATAAATGTTTGATCTGTGCTCTAGAATCGCTCATGGACGTTATTGTCATCAATGTTTGATCTGTGCCCTAGAAACGTGCATGGCCGTTATTATCTTCAATGTTTGATTGGTGCTCTAGAATCACTCATGGCCGTTATTGTCATCAATGTTTGATTGGTGCTCAAGAATCGCTCATGGCCGTTATTGTCATCCATGTTTGATTGGTGATCTAGAATCGCTCATGGCTGTTATTGTCATCAATGTTTGAATGGTGCCTTAGAATCGCTCTTGGCCATTACTGTCGTCCATGATTGATTGGTGCTCTAGAATCGCTCATGGTCGTTATTGTCATCAATGTTTGATTGGTGCTCTAGAATTGCTCATGGCTGTTATTAGTGTTCTAGAATCACTCATGGCCGTTATTGTCATCAATGTTTGATTGGTGCTCTAGAATCACTCATGGCTGTTATTGTCATCCATGTTTGATTGGTGCTCTAGAATCGCTCATGGCTGTTATTGTCATCAATGTTTGATTGGTGCCTTAGAATCGCTCTTGGCCATTATTGTCGTCCATGATTGATTGGTGCTCTATAATCGCTCATGGCCGTTATTGTCGTCAATGTTTGATTGGTGCTCTAGAGTTGCTCTTGTCTATTAATGTCGTCCATGATTGATTGGTGCTCTAGAATCGCTCATGGTCGTTATTGTCAACAATGTTTGATTGGTGCTCTACAATCACTCATGGCCGTTATTGTCATTGATGATTGATTGGTGTTTTAGAATCGCTCATGGCCCTTACTGTCATCAATGTTTGATTGGTTCTCTAGAATCGCTCATGGCTGTTTATATCATCCATATTTCTTTCCTGCTCTAGAATCTAAGAGACATTGTTGTTAATGTCATCAATTGTCTGTTTTCAGCTCCCGAGTCAGATGCAAGTATTTTGGGAATACTGACATGGTGTAATCAAATGACTGACAAGCATTGTTGACCCCAGTTCTAAAAGAGTCTCATTTATTGTGAGATGTACTGAGGTCATCTCCAGCACAGCAGAAGTCATAATGACAAGAATATCTGATACTCCACCAGATAATGGAGCCATAGTACTATCAGGCTAATGTCAGTACCTACATTCTTTGCCCATAAATTTAGTCATGTTTCTATTCAGAGTGAATTAATGTTATCAGAGTTACTACACCTTCAAAGCAAACGTTAGCTGTTGGCTGAGAGGACATATCTTTGTCATATTTCAAAATGTCTCCCTTTGCAATAAGAATATACAATACATTATGATTTCTGAGTGAAGTCTTATTTAAAGGCCAGGCAAAGTGCCAGCAGCTGAGATCGTATCACGCAAGTGACCTGGTTGTTATTGTCCCCCGCTGCGCGAAAGCGCGAAGCAGGGGATATAGTATTCACGACCGTCCGTACCTGTTTGTTGCCGCGATATCTCAAGAACTAAACACTGGATTGTCTTCATATTTGGAACTATGGTGTATATACAGACTCCGCAGACACCAGTCGGTTTTGGTGACCTTGACCCCATTTTCAAGGTCACAGCAGGTAAATCTGCTTTTGGAGTTGGAAAACGGTGTTGCCGCGATATCTCAAGAACTAATCGCAGGATTGTCTTCATGTTTGGAACTATGGTGTATATACAGACACCGCAGACACCAGTCGGTTTTGGTGACCTTGACCCCATTTTCAAGGTCACAGCAGGCAAATCTGCTTTTGGAGTTTGAAAACAGTGTTGCCGCGATATTTCAAGAACTAATCACTGGATTGTTTTCATATTTGGAACTATGGTGTATATACAGACTCCGCAGACACCAGTTGGTTTTGGTGACCTTGACCCTATTTTCAAGGTCACAGCAGGTAAATCTGCTTTTGGAGTTGGAAAACGGTGTTGCCGCGATATCTCAAGAACTAATCGCAGGATTGTCTTATTATTTGGAACTATGGTGTATATAGGTTACACACAACCAAATGTTTTCCCATAGACTTCTATAGTAACGTTATGATTTTTTTTTAAATAACTAAGCATTCAACAGCTATTACCTGTACGTGTGTGCACAGTTTGGCCTTAGAGCAGCAATAAAAAAATTAAAAATGACTAGCTTACCCAGCTCCTTTTCCGAGTACCGGAAGCTAAACACACCACCCCCAGTTTCGCACCAAATGTCACCTACTTGAAAATAGCTGTGGTCACATTCAGCATAAGTCATCATGTTGAAAAAGACAGTACTAAATATAGAAGAACATGGTCAGTTTTAATAACTGGATGGATGTACATTTGAAAGACATAAAAATCTTACAGAATATCCTCCAATCACAGCCTGCAGATATCTCTCGATCTGCACTGAAGGCTCCCTACGAAAACCGCACTCTCCAAACTGGTACTGATTTGGTGTAGTAGAACCTGTAGACAAATCAGAATATATTTGCACTTGTCAAATCTGTGATTTATATATTGTATATATATGTAGCTTCTTAGAAAAAAAATGGAAATTGGATTAAACTTCACTACTTGTTCCTATCCAGCATGTCTATATGGCACCAGAATACATAGTTTTGATGCACAGAAAGAGTTGTGAGAGTTTAATGGTGTACACTTCATCAATGTTTTACAAAAGGTATTTCTGTATTAATAAAGAAGTTTTTACCTTCATGCACTGACCATGGAAGTTCATTTATATTTCATAAAAGATGGTGGTCAGGGGTCAATTCTATAAATGATTGAGGCTGCATAGATCATATCACCCTAAAATATTTTTTCGACTAAAAAAATTGAACAAATCTTTAAACCTCAAAACCAGTTACAATACATATTTAAAATTGAGTAGTGGTCTGTTGTTTGCCTTCCTTTGCTGACATCATCAGAACATAGCAGAGTCTGCTACATTCATGGAATATGGTTTTGACACTCATGACATGATGCGATTGATATTGTTTGAGATTGCTCGAACTTACACCATCCATTGTTTATATAATTAAACACTCAAATGGCTGTCAGCATTTGGTAAATCATCTATGGAGGGGCTATCACAAATGTTTGTGCTTTCATATACTCCAAAAATCAAAAGTATAATCCTCTATGATATAGGCTGATGACATAAGTACACATGGAAAGGAATCAGAAAAAAATCTCAAAATTGGACAGAGAGCATGGAATTCAGGCCAACAATAAGCAAGGGACACATTAAGCAGCTTTAAAGTCATCATATATGTAAGCCTGGATAATGAACTTTACCAGAAAATAGGAAGTAAAGGGGTGCATTGTTAACAGCAATCTCAAATGCTGACCAGTGAACCATACCGCCTATTAAAGCCGAGAAATTGAAATGGACCCTCAAGTAGAAAAAAGCTTTTTGAAACCACAACATGGAAGGAAATTACACTTAACTCTATTGATTTATTTAGTTAAGACTTTAAAATACTCACAGGACATCAAACATTCTTACTGTTTAATGTTTCAAGGTGGCTAAACTTGCTTATTTCAGTTATTTGCCAGTTTCAATGAAACAAAGTTAAAATTCCATATAATTATGAAAATGTACAGCTTATCCTGACATAAATGTAATTCTTTTTATTCACAATTAACAGTGTCATGCAATACCAGCTTAAAATAGTGTTTCTCTCCAATAATTTATGGGTTTATAGGGGAATGAAAGATACAATGCATTTTACTAAACAGGGGAGATAATTTAGTTTTGTCGAACACTATCACATTCTTTACAGATGATTTCAGAACCATAATGTTACATTCCAAAAGAGCCAGTGGATATTATTTTCATCTAAGCAGGTTCTGGGACTGGTGTATAGCCCTTACTTCATGTTTGCAAACTAAAAAACTGCACAGTGAGGCATTAAGGGAGCACTGTCAGAAATGTCTAGTGCATGAGGGTGATCTTATTATGGCACTTGATAGTGAGCAACAGAGGGGCCTCAAGTGGACTGGGGTTCTTAAATGTACTTACTGTACCTACATGTCCAAGTTCCACAACTTCTACAAGGTAATGAAGCGCAGCGAGGCAAAACAAGGGTTGTCGATCACACACTGCCAACACCGGACTTCGGATCAGCTTCTCCAAATGCCAAATTCGATGTCGAAACTCCTACTTCTACTGCATGAGTGCACATATACCTCCCCAGTCAACATCAGGCATGTGAAAAGCTGAAAAAAGTGTTCAGACAATATCAAATGGCAAACCAGTTTGGATATAACAGCCAGGAGTCAGTTCTTGAGGGGACAAAATAATTATTTGAAAGTTATATGAGTGAAAAATAAGTCTGTTTTAAGAAACTTAATAGAAAAATAGCATCATTCATTCACACAAGAGCACCTAACAGAAAGACATATTGGTATGCTACATTGTTTACTATAAATAAGGGGATGTTTGACATATTCTGCTGTCAGCAGTGTACATGCTTCATATTCAAGATAACGGCATCGCGTAACTTGACTGGCAAGCGATTGACACAAGGCAGAAATTGTTGTGGCAGTGGTGACTTTATCCTAATTTGTTGTCAAATTCATCAGTTTCAACAAATTCAGAAGGCAGGAGGAGGGCTTGTTGGACAGAGGTACCCTGGGGGGTTCGTGCTGAGTTCGACCACAATACGAAGCAACATTCATTTCCAGCCCATCCAAATGCTCCATTCAACCCAAAATGTCCCCAACTTCACTGTCATTATTTTTAAATTTGCCTCCATGGTGTATCCATGGTGAAATATAAACAGAAAAGCATGTAAAGTATGAATTACTGAAATGTGCACTCACCCTACAGGTTACACACAACCAAATGTTTTCCCATAGACTTCTATAGTAACGTTATGATTTTTTTTTAAATAACTAAGCATTCAACAGCTATTACCTGTACGTGTGTGCACAGTTTGGCCTTAGAGCAGCAATAAAAAAATTAAAAATGACTAGCTTACCCAGCTCCTTTTCCGAGTACCGGAAGCTAAACACACCACCCCCAGTTTCGCACCAAATGTCACCTACTTGAAAATAGCTGTGGTCACATTCAGCATAAGTCATCATGTTGAAAAAGACAGTACTAAATATAGAAGAACATGGTCAGTTTTAATAACTGGATGGATGTACATTTGAAAGACATAAAAATCTTACAGAATATCCTCCAATCACAGCCTGCAGATATCTCTCGATCTGCACTGAAGGCTCCCTACGAAAACCGCACTCTCCAAACTGGTACTGATTTGGTGTAGTAGAACCTATACAGACACCGCAGACACCAGTCGGTTTTGGTGACCTTGACCCCATTTTCAAGGTCACAGCAGGCAAATCTGCTTTTGGAGTTGGAAAACGGTGTTGCCCCGATATCTCAAGAACTAATCGCTGGATTGTCTTCATATTTGGTACTATGGTGTATATACAGGCGGGGGACATTTCGTCACTTCTATGACAAATACTTGTTCAGCCTTGGGACCAGGGCAACCCTTGAGACTCCATGGCAATGCTTCTGCCTCTTTTCTGCCTCCTTTGAGCTACCTGTCGTGTTTCATTATGGTTGCAGACGCTGAACAACTCGAGCATTTACTGCTGAACAACTGCTGGAGCAGTTACATAGAAACATGATTTTCTGGTTGTAGGTGACCATTGAGTGTGCTGACCAGTTTTTGATCGCTCAAAGGTGGCACAAAGGTCAGCAGCCCTGTGCAAAAGGGCCTTGAGGCATTAAACAACAAACAAACTCTCACCCCCAGGATCCAAAGTATCCACTGAGTCAGGTCTGACAACCTTGCGTGAGTAAGATTAGACTCATCAAGAGAGAACAAAATACTGGCTGATATTCTTTAACAAAGTTTATTCCACATATTGATGAGAAATATTAGGAATTTGGCACACAGAAAGCAATGAAGCTATCATACATATTCACAGCAGTTAAAACATCCTTGAACTACCAGGGTATTCCATCTGTGACCTAGTATTGCCAACTGGAATTGATGATTACTCTCAAGTCCAACATCTAGAAGTATCACCTTAATCATGGTTAATGAGTTCACACTGTTCTTCAGAAGAAACATTTTCATTGGGCAGTAGAATGTAGCTGCAATGAATGTGACTGGCTGTTTAAGAGTGATTCTAAGAAGAAAAGGAATGTCATCAGAGGATGTCAACCATGCTGCTGACTTAGGTGGTACTGCATAGGTAGAAAGTGATTGGCATGTTTGATTGGCATTCTAGAAGTTGGTGAGTACAATGACCATTGCTTTGTGGAACAACTTCCGGTTCACTACTTGATGTAAGGATCTACTTCGAAACGTTGCAAAACCAGAAGTTGTTAGCGATAAAGTTGTATGCTTTCTTATGTTGCACAAAGCAATGGTCATTGTATGTCTGTGGAAATTTGTATGGCAACGGTATGCTGGTTGTACAATACTATGGCAATGTTTTTTGGACATCAAACTTACAATGGTATGTTTCATATTTAGAACGGATGACTGCTAGAAAACAAAATGAGGCAGCTAACTTATTAAGTGTGTTCAAAACGTATTGAAAAGTACATTTTTATTCAAATTATCTTTTACCTAAATATCTTTTGAATGTTTCTAGATGCAAGTAAACAAGTCGACAGATATTCAACATGGTATATAAAATTGAAAATTCCCATGACGTACAAGAACAGTAAATATGAGCTCAGCATGTACACAAGAACATTGACATGACCGCTAAATTAGATTTCTGATCTTTATAGAAAAAGTGCCAGTTTGTATATAATGCTTCCCTGTACTGTATAGCCACTCTACAAGAACAGCTGATGCTCTGCAGCGATCCATCATGACCATTTCACACTCCCTGTAACAAATTGCACTCCTACAAACTACAAAGACAGAACAGAGATAAGGACTTTTTTTTTGTCATGTTTAATTGAACTTGACACGGGGATATCACTTCCTGCAAATACTTGCCACAAACACACATCCAGTGTGCAGTAGCTAAGTGTAATGTTTTATTTCAACATGCCCAATTAATTTACAAGCCATTTCAAGTATACTTTGAAGTGTTATTTCCAAAAGTTCAATTCTATAATTGAAACTGCAGTTTGCAATAACTTGAATCTAACTTTTACTTTTTATGTATCACTGTAAGGTCACTGGCTGAAAAACAGTCAAAATTATCAAACAAAACAGACCAGCTAAGCACAAAAAAAGGAGTTAAAGCCCAGTTTTTATTCAATTTGTTGGGCTGAATGCATTCATTACTATCTTAACTTGTTACACACCTCAAGTTGGGTCTGCCAAATACAGATATTTCTCTAAGAGAAATAAAGTAGGGTTTGATGTTGATACACCATTTTGTAAGTACTTCAGCCATTTCATGGCAGCCAGGGCAGTTGTGTCTCAAAACGGCATGATTAATACTGATTTAAAGCTACCCCAAGCAGCATATTGACATATTAGTCAGAAAATAATTAGGATTTGAACTTAAGAGTAGTTAAGGTATAGAACTCCTTACATCACACCGGTATTCAATTACCATATTCACTGTATATGCCCTGAGCGCTTTGAAAATTGACAAGTTAAATCTGTTTTCAAAGATAATGCAAACTTGCTTCAAACCTTAATGAAAATAAAACTGACAGTTACAAGGCAATACCCCTTCTGCTGCTGCTTGCTGTAAACAAATCAGTATTATACACAAGAAACTATGGACTGTCATGTAGATTTGCAAATTTCACAGTCAGGAATGTTCATCTGTTAGGTAAACTTGGGAATGTGTATTCAATAAACTATTTCTAATATAAATAAAAGTATGAATTGTAAAATTCCTAATCTCACTCAACATAATTGTATAAGATTCACCAGATATCCTAACAACTGAGTCGAGATATGTAAAATTCAAAGATAAGAAGAGGCAAATGTATGAAGATCCGTTTCACAAGTGACAGCAGGTAAAGGAATGAATACACATGAAAAGAATTGAGCATCAAATGGGAAAATAGTTTTATTTACACATAGAGCAACATTCTTTCACACAAACCATTCAAACAAAATCATATAAATAAAATATATACAAAACATATAAACTAAATAAACTATTTGATACAAAACATATTTTGATTTTTACACCTTGAACATTATGTTAAACATATGAGGTATATCTGTATTTCACACTGGTATGGCTAGAATCTGAGTGGTAACCCCTATGACTATTCAGTAATGTGAGGTATTGATATTCTCTGCAGCAACTGAGTGAGTGAGTTGTATTCCAGTTATATCACGGCGTGTCAGCATAATGTGGGAGGAAAGCCCGAAGTGATGCAGGTCTCAGACGTTAACCACTTCGGTGAAACCTACACGCACGGGTATGGTGCTGACAAACCTAGAAACATAATCGGGGCGAAAAGGGATTCAAACCCACAATCATAGGTTTCTGGTGTGCTCAAGGGACGCAACTCTGCACAGTGAATTGCAGCACCTTAGACGACTGGGCCACCTGTGCCCCCTCTGCAGCAACTGACGAATAGTTAACTGTTGTACATCCTCTTGAAAACTGATATGGAAAACTTCAGATTCCTTAACATCAGAGACCTGGAATGTACAAATAAGAATCCTTACCTCAAAGTACTGTGCTTAATCCAGAACAGCGTTATGCTAATAGACATTATGTCCAAAACACAAAACAGGCTCTGGGTTTGTTTTTTAATTATTTGGGATGGAGTGGGTTGAACTGCTTTGAACCGAATTTCAGGATTATCACTGCATGTCAGTTGTAGGAGGAAAGCCTGAAGTGATTGACGCATGTCTCAGATGTTTACCCCTTTGGTGAATCCATGAGCACGGGTAGGTGGTAACAAATCTAGAAACATAATCAGGGCAAATCTGGGATTCCATGCCGGTCATAGGTTTCTGATCATAGGCACTCCCAAGGAATGCACCAATTGTGGAGTCTTAGACGACTGGTCAAGTCGTGACCCCTATTTAGGATGGAGAGAAACTACAAATTTAGAGGATCGTATCGATAAACTACTCAGGCAATTCAGCATTACATGGTGACTTAAAAACTAAAAACTAATAGTAGGGGAAGAGCTTCCAGATATACAATTTGGGAAGGGATCACAGCTTTTAGTGCAGTCTAATCCTACAATCCCTTAAAGTTACATGTTCTAATTGTCCACTTTTATTGGCCAGCCACATGTTGAACATCACATATTTCAGAACATTTCAAAAATGACATGAATTCATGTCTTCAGGGGACTATCTGATCACAATAAATGTATCGAATGTTTAAAAATTCTACCTATTTACCTCCTAAAATTGTATATACACCTACTGAAAAATATCAAAGTTCTATTACATGCATTAGAAAACATCAAGAGATCTGTAAACTGCTATCAGCCGGCATGTTCACCTGGTGATGCTGGACACTGATTTCAGACAAGCTTTGGCAAGTGGGTCTGCACTTCTACCCAGGGTGTATCATATAATGTATTTATAGCTACCAAAATACAATAAGAAGTATACATTTGGTAAACCACATATTACTGGATGATGTAATAACCTTATTTCTCCTACTCCGAAATCAAGCGCCTGGTTACCTGATGTTTCATTAACGTTATCATATCCCCTTCCTCACTACCCAGAAATCAAGCACTTGTTTATCTTATGCCACAACAATCTTTTCCCACCCCACACTACCCAGAAACCAAGCACCTGTTTATCTTATGCCACAACAATCTTTTCCCACCCCACACTACCCAGAAACCAAGCACCTGTTTATCTTATGCCACAACAATCTTTTCCCACCCCACACTACCCAGAAACCAAGCACCTGTTAATCCTATGCCACAACAATCTTTTCCCTCCCACACTACCCAGAAACCAAGCACCTGTTTATCCTATGCCACAACAATCTTTTCCCACCCCACACTTCCCTCAGTCAACATCTGCTTCTCCCATGCCTCGAAAATCTTTTCCCTCCCACATTACCCCGAAACAAGCACCTGTTTATTCTATACCACAATAATCTCCTCCCATCACACACTACCCTGAAATCAAGCACCTGCTTACCCTTGGTTACAATATCCTTTTCCATACGACCCCAGCACAATCTACATCAAACACTTATTTACCCTATATTCTGGATGAAGAAGGAAACATTAGATTCAAACCTACAATAAGCAGCTTGAAACCACATAGCCACATGTGCGGGACAAAGAAAAGGGATGGATGGCCACCATGAGAAATAAACCAAGCTGAGATGAGGACTTTGTTGTGCAGTAGGTGGGTATAATTACACAATAACCAACTTACTGCTTGGAAACAGTTCTGAGAGGAGTTCAATAGAAGGACCTTACATAAATCGAATCAACACAAAAAGCACAGAATATACTCTATCATCATCTTAAAAAACCCAGAAGAATTATTCTTTCCCAGTAGTGACCATTTACATCTTAATGTGTTCTAGTCCCTGAAGGATGCTTTGTTTGTGAATCCACAAAAAAAATAGAAGAATTCTCCTTGCCCTTTGAATAGCAAATGTTTTCAGGAGAGAAAAAACCCTGCTGAACTTGCCATTTTTGTGTGATCAATATCCAGATTATACGTCTTAATACAACGTCAAATAGATCTGATCTGAATGAGGGCCTAGTTTTCAGGAGATATTGAAACAAATATTAAATTTTGAAGTCAAATTCTGATATAGAACTTGAAGAATTTGGTTGTTGAACCCTTTAGGTACAATGTTAACAAGATCCTGTTACCTGTGTATATTGTGTGTGCTTACAGGGCCTATACAATAGTGAGCAAGTATGGTTTTACACCCCTTTTAGCAATATTCCAGCAATATCACGGCACAGGACACCAGAAATGGGCTTCACACATTGTACCCATGTCGGGAATCAAACCCAGGTCTTAGGTGTGACAAGTGAATGCTTTAACCACTAGGCTACCCGACCGCCCCCCTATACAATAGTGTTTTATTGGTCAGATAATGCTGAAACAGCCTGGAATGGATGGCTGGTAGAATCTACATGGTAGTAACAATCTCTTGTTCCAGATAATGGGATCAGATCCACCCACTTTGTTGTTGCATAACAAGATAATGGTTTTATCATTACATTACATAGTAAGACCATCTAAAAAAGAGGTAATCACATTCTTAACAATCACAGGAATGTCTTCACAAATTGTAATATGAACCAATTTTTGAACAGAAATGGTATTTGCTCATTGTGGAATGTTAAGATAAAACTTATAATCACATTAATTCCCGACTCTTATTTATGTAACTGCTTTAAAAATCTGCCATTCAATAATAGTTTTCACAATATGAAATGAAAAATGATTTGATAGTGATACTTTTCACGCTTCGACATAATCATACATTAATAAACTTTAACATGACATGTTGACGGAGATGAGGGTACCACTACACACAAATATGACATCTTTCAAATGCTGACAAGAATTGTAAAGTCATAAAATATCAATATGTTACAGAACTCTTTTGATCATGACCTTGACATTTTACACAAATGGCCAATGATGACAACAGTATGGGACAATGTAAAAACAAATTGATCATGAATTTAACTCAACATCTCAATATACATGACACATGACAAAATTTGCATAGCTTTCGAAGAAATATTTCTGTACCACACTAAATGAACTATAAGTAGAAGATCCTTGTCTACCAGTACTTGAATGAATGCAACCTGACTCAGAAATGAGATCATAGCCACCAGATCCACTATATGAACAAAAGACATCCCAATGTCAAGACATTTATACACATCTGTAATTCTATGAATGATCTAAAATCTCCTACATTATACAAAGTTCATCATATAATTGTGACATACACCAAGGACTGAATACAGGCTGTCTGTCAGGAAACCTCAGGGCAAGAAAGGAAACATTTTCTTATGGTTCCTCAACAGTACAGCTGTTGTATAATGCCCTTAGAGGTACAAAATCATTCTTGTGGACAATGGCGCCAAATCAGTGAGAAGTACAAGCTGCTGATCATGTTATTGAGATTTATTAAACAATGCTAAGGACACAACAAATTAATCACCCATTAGTCAATTTGTGTATCTCAAGCTTGCAGGTGATGTTTCAAGATCAGGAACTATCTCACTGACTTATTACCTGTTATACCTCTCTCAACCGTGCCATGAGTCATTGATTTTGAAAGAGTAAAAAGGTTTTTAAACCCCAAATATGCTGTCAATACACCAGCCTCACCTGAATTGCTGTTTGATAATGTGGCATGCTCAGGTCATATGACTTGAAGAAAGTCACAGATTGGACCAAGAGGAATCAAACAGCTCTTTTGTCATGCTTACTACAATAAGATAACTCATACGAAACAGAATACATTGGATTATTTCCAAACAACCATGGAAATTCTCAAACATTTCCATGAATATAGATTGTCATATCAACAATCATACAGATGCGAGAGTAAGTAACTGGCCTTGGAAAGGATTGTCATATTGCCATAGTTGCAGTCATTCATTGGGAAGTACCATATGGTACAATAAGGAACTGTTGTGATGTAGGCTTTGCTTTAGGCCAACTTCTGAAAAATAACTACCCGGTCCCCCAGTCAATATAGGCCAACTATTGAAAATTAACCAGTTGATATAGGCCAACTACTGAAAATTAACCAGTTGATACAGGCCAACTATTCAAAAGTACCCAGTTGATATAGGCAATGAATGAAAATTACCCAGTTGATAAAGGCCAACTATTGAAAATTACCCAGTCAATATAGGCCAACTAATGAAAATTACCCAAATTGTTACATGGCAAACTTTGAACAATTATTCAGTTGCTTTAATTTTACAGTTGCTCTCATTGATGCCTTTTTTGATATTTAACCATTGAATGAGGCCAGTTGAATGAGGCTGATTCACCTGCAGTTTCTGACAAATCTAACTGGATTAAATATGAATACAGTTATGCATTATTCAGAAGTTGGCCTGGCTCACTGATTTGATGCAAGATAAAAGTTACTCATTATTTTTAGGAACAGCTAAAATACTTACATTTAATTGCAGTAATTCTATGAAACTGATATGTTGTACAAGTGTTTACAGAAAAACTAAAATACAAATCATTGTCCATTATTTTCTTTACCTTCAAAAACAGAAATAGCAATATATACTATTCGCAAGGCTTAATTATCACATATTACTATATACTATCTGTTATGATATGCACCAAATATTTCAATATTTCTAATAATTTGAAATCAAACAATACAACCACAATTTTATTACCAGTAATCATGAAAGCTGAAAGCCATTCTTTAAAATCATGTGGCTTTTGCTTCCTACACCTGTTAAAATGTTGAACTTCAAAAAGCATTATCCTTTGAAGCAGGTGTGTACGGAATGTGGCGGCAGTAAATGACCATTTAGCAACGGACATCCGTATGCCTGGTACACCCGGAGGCTGTTCTGCATGTATGGGGAGCCTGGTTGTGACATCGCAGCTGGGGCTTAGATCTATAGATCCATCAAATCACAGACACAGCACATGATGTTGAGAATCACTAACTGCCCTTCAGATGGAACGGCTACTTCAGTCTCTGGGTGACATTGGCAAGAGCAACAGCAAATGCTTGTATAGCAGTAAAAGGGTATTGAAAATCCAGTGTGTAGGCATTGCTGTCAATACGCCCAAACTGCATCACCTGAAACAGACAACAGATCGTTATCAGCATGGCTGTTGTTTCACACAAATGGCATCGCCTGAAACTGACTATCCCTAGGCAGGTATACGCTCTACTGTCGATACACCCAGCTCTACTGTTGATACACCCAGCTCTACTGTCGATACATCCAGCTCTACTGTTGATACACTCAGCTCTACTGTTGATACACCCAGCTCTCCTGTTGATACATCCAGCTCTACTGTCGATACACCCAGCTCTACTGTCGATACACCCAGCTCTACTGTTGATACACCCAGCTCTCCTGTTGATACATCCAGCTCTACTGTCGATACACCCAGCTCTACTGTCGATACACCCAGCTCTACCGTTGATACATCCAGCCCTCCTGTTGATACACCCAGCTCTTCTGTCGATACACCCAGCTCTACTGTCGATACACCCAGTTCTACTGTTGATACACCCAGCTCTACTGTCGATACACCCAGCTCTACTGTCGATACATCCAGCTCTACTGTTGATACACTCAGCTCTACTGTCGATACACCCAGCTCTACTGTTGATACACCCAGCTCTACTGTCGATACACCCAGCTCTACTGTCGATACACCCAGCTCTACTGTTGATACACCCAGCTCTACTGTTGATACATCCAGCCCTCCTGTATATACACCCAGCTCTACTGTCGATACACCCAGCTCTACTGTCGATACACCCAGCTCTACTGTCGATACACCCATCTCTACTGTCGATAAACCCATCTCTACTGTTGATACACCCAGCTCTACTGTCGATACACCCAGCGCTACTGTCGATACACCCAGCTCTACAGTTGATACACCCAGCTCTCCTGTCGATACACCCAGCTCTACTGTCGATACACCCAGCTCTCCTGTTTATACACCACTGTTAATACAACCAGCTCTACTGTCGATACACCCAATCACCTAAAGCAAGACACAAGATAGGTATATGCATGGCTTGAAGCACTTGATACACCCAGCTCTACTGTTGATACACCCAGCTCTACTGTCGATACATCCAGCTCTACTGTTGATACACTCAGCTCTACTGTCGATACACCCAGCTCTACTGTCGATACACCCATCTCTACTGTCGATAAACCCATCTCTACTGTTGATACACCCAGCTCTACTGTCGATACACCCAGCGCTACTGTCGATACACCCAGCTCTACAGTTGATACACCCAGCTCTCCTGTCGATACACCCAGCTCTACTGTCGATACACCCAGCTCTCCTGTTTATACACCACTGTTAATACAACCAGCTCTACTGTCGATACACCCAATCACCTAAAGCAAGACACAAGATAGGTATATGCATGGCTATCAATACGTCCTAACTGCTTCATCTGAAACCGACAACAGGCAGATATTTTTTCAGTGACATAACTTCCAATTGCACCCTTTCATTAAAAAGTTTGTGATTTGTGTTAAGTTTTATTTAGGACTCAGAGGAGGGGGTTAGCACCCTCCTACATAACAGTCATATTGAAATGTGATACCTTCAGAAGATTGATATATGTTATGACACGGATATGAAATGTTTGCTTTGTCAAGACAATGTCAGGAGAAGCCAAGGAAAGTCCCCTTCCCTCCAACCACTGACGGCAGCTCTGACTGTAACTACCCACATATACAGCTTCACACTATGTAGGTGAGAGGATGACATAGAGCTAGACGACAAGAACACTTCCAGTCCAGATGAATAATGTCTGTGTTTGCTTCCACAAATTCAGGCCAGTCATACATTCACATAGTCTGTGACTTTAGCCACTAGTTCGAAACCCGAGTCCAGTGAAATGTCTTTAGTCAGTAAGATCATCTGGTACTAGTCCATAGGAGAAGACAAAATTCTACTGAAAGAATGTAAGGTTCAAGTTGGTGCTAGTAGGCTTATTGTGCTTGGTATAGACTGAATACATAATCAGAAGGCCATTATTTCTATATTTGTTTGTTTGTTGTTTAACGCCTCACTAAGCAATATTCTAGTTTATATGATGGCAATCTAAAATATATTCGAGTCTGGACGAGACAATCCAGTGATTGATATCATGAACATCTATCCACGCAACTGGTGAGTGAGTGAGTGAGTGAGTGAGTGAGTGAGTGAGTGGGCCAATTTTAGCAATATTCCAGTAATATCACAGCAGGGGATACCAAAATGAATTTCACACATTGTACCCATTTGGGGAATAAGATACCTTTGATTTTGTAAGTGTCTGAAAGGTTGGCAGTTTCGGCCAAGTCTGCGTATGAATTTCCTATTGAACATTGCACAAATTAATGTTGTTAATGATTTTATACAAATATTTTTGCACGTGTTACATATCAGCAGATAAGATGAAAAGAAGTGATAAAACCGAAAAACTGTACACAGCAGTGTCAATGTTTTTACTCACTCAGCAGTTACAGAGCCAAAAGGCCGTTACAATCACCCCACCCCACCCCCACACCCCACACCCCACACCCCACACACACACACACCCACACCCCACACCCCCACACCCCACACCCCGGCGAATGCTGTAAGCTAGACATGCAAGAAATTTACCTGTTTCCCACGGAACTCTATTTGGAAGTTTTTAGCTGATTCTTGAGTGACCCGTCCACCGAAGTCCAGCTGGTAGACCTGGCTGTTCTCATTCCACAGTGGAGCCTTGTTGTGCATGACAAACTGCTGCTTTGACCCCACGCGGCTGGAACTGCTGCCCCGGACACGACGCAGCTAGAACACAAACAACAAATACATAAGTCGTCAAGTGAAACCATTACTAGTCTTGCCAGGAACCTTTGTGTTGTAATTAGTCAAAACCATTAACATCTGTAGAAGATACTCTCTGTATTACATCAAGCATAGCCTCGTTAAGTCACATAAGCTTTGGGTCTTAGAAGTCGTATAGACCCATGTGGATGCCAGGTAAGGATACACTTGTATGCAGCATCCTATCAAAATAGTAAGTCACATAAGCTTTGGGCCCTTGTGTGCTTCCAGCCTCAGTAAGTCATGTGTGCTTCCCGCCTCAGTAAGTCATGTGTGCTTCCAGCCTCAGTAAGTCATGTGTGCTTCAAGCCTCAGTAAGTCATGTGTGCTTCCAGCCTCAGTAAGTCATGAGTGCTTCAAGCCTCATTAAGTCATGTGTGCTTCCACCCTCAGTAAGTCATGTGTGCTTCAAGCCTCAGTAAGTCATGTGTGCTTCAAGCCTCAGTAAGTCATGTGTGCTTCCAGCATCAGTAAGTCATGTGTGCTTCCAGCCTCAGTAAGTCATGTGTGCTTCCAGCATCAGTAAGTCATGTGTGCTTCCAGCATCAGTAAGTCATGTGTGCTTCCAGCATCAGTAAGTCATGTGTGCTTCCAGCCTCATTAAGTCATGTGTGCTTCCAGCCTAAGTAAGTCATGTGTGCTTCAAGTCTCAGTAAGTCATGTGTGCTTCCAGCATCAGTAAGTCATGTGTGCTTCCAGCATCAGTAAGTCATGTGTGCTTCAAGCCTCAGTAAGTCATGTGTGCTTCCAGCATCAGTAAGTCATGAGTGCTTCAAGCCTCAGTAAGTCATGTGTGCTTCCAGCCTCAGTAAGTCAAGTGTGCTTCCAGCCTCAGTAAGTCATGTGTGCTTCCAGCATCAGTAAGTCATGTGTGCTTCCAGCCTCATTAAGTCATGTGTGCTTCCAGCCTAAGTAAGTCATGTGTGCTTCAAGTCTCAGTAAGTCATGTGTGCTTCCAGCCTCAGTAAGTCATGTGTGCTTCCAGCATCAGTAAGTCATGTGTGCTTCCAGCCTCATTAAGTCATGTGTGCTTCCAGCATCAGTAAGTCATGTGTGCTTCCAGCCTCAGTAAGTCATGTGTGCTTCCAGCCTCAGTAAGTCATGTGTGCTTCAAGCCTCAGTAAGTCATGAGTGCTTCCAACCTCAGTAAGTCATGTGTGCTTCCAGCCTCAGTAAGTCATGTGTGCTTCAAGCCTCAGTAAGTCATGAGTGCTTCCAACCTCAGTAAGTCATGTGTGCTTCCAGCCTCAGTAAGTCATGTGTGCTTCCAGTCTCAGTAAGTCATGTGTGCTTCAAGCCTCAGTAAGTCATGAGTGCTTCCAACCTCAGTAAGTCATGTGTGCTTCAAGCCTCAGTAAGTCATGTGTGCTTCCAGCCTCAGTAAGTAATGTGTGCTTCCAGCCTCAGTAAGTCATGTGTGCTTCCAACCTAAGTAAGTCATGTGTGCTTCCAGCCTAGGTAAGTCATGTGTGCTTCCAGCATCAGTAAGGTTAGTCATTCATGAATATTTCTTATCGTATGGAAATCATGGAAATCTTTGGATTGCACACCACTACTGAGTCTCTAACTGGCCTATGACCAGTTGAGCTAAAAATGGAGAAGTTTCAGGTCAATGATGACCCTGTTGGATCATAGTTTCATAGGAAATACTGCGATAGAAATTGGCACTATCAACATTCATTGACAGTATCAACATTCATTCAATCACAAGCATGCAGGGTTTGCTCATGGTTGAAAAGTCCTGAATAAGGCCTTAACATTTGATAAAGGACTTGAAAAGGCCTTAACATTTGATAAAGGACTTGAAAAGGCCTTAACATTTGATAAATTGTCATGAAGAGCCCTCGAATTTGGCAATCATTGTTTACTCTGTGTGTCGTGTAGCAAAGGAGTAGTCTGTAACTACAACGATGAACTATATGAGACTTTGGTGTGGACTCACAGCGTAGAAATTGGCAGTAGTCCTAGAGTCCTTGCCAAACTGCCCAATAGTTAAGGTACCATAAAGACTCATAGAAATTTGTAATTTTGATGGGTTTTGCTATATGTTATCATTATAAGGACAAGTGGACTAAAGATGTTTGATTCTTCCTGATTAAATGACAAATTCATCAGACCAACAACGCATACTGCTCGGCATTTTGTCAGGAATGTCATGCCCAAATAAAACTCTCTTGAAAGTCTCATAACAGACACATTTAGGGTAGTGATCACGTTGAAATGATTAAAACCCTAGACTGAAGTAATTTTCTAAAAATATCCTTCCAAGGGTTCCACTTGCGTAACAGAAAGATCAAAGTAGTAGTACTGTTCCAAAAGGAAACCACGATTAATTTTTAATTGAATTCCCTTCCAGTCAATAACTTGGTTTGTTACATACAGCATGATTAATCACTTAGGCGAGTCTACCAATCAGGAGCATCAGAAGAAAGCTCTTCACCCAGTGTTGCTGGAACACTTTCAATGTCCTTTCCACAGGTTTTCATGAAACTGAGTGTGATGTAATATTGTTCAATCTCGTATTTTGGCCTACTGAAATAGAGTTCACTGTAAGAAAACACTATACAGTCTACTTTTGTTAAGTGGCAGTTGAACCCATGGGGCTTCAGGTTCCCAGCAATCCATGCTTATCGTTAGAGGCGACCAAATGAATCATGAGTGAGTGAGTTTGATTTTATTTCGCTTTTAGCAATATTCCAGCAATATCACGGTGGGGGACACCATAAGTGGGCGTCACACATTGTACCCATGTCGGGAACTGAACCCAAGTCTTCGGCGTGACGAGGGAGCGCTTTAACCACTAGGCTACCCGACCACCCCTAATGGATCAGTGGTCATGCTTGGTGATTTGATTCACTACATGTCACATATCCCAACTGCGTGGATGGATGTTAATGATGTCAATCACTGGTTTGTATGGTCCAGACTCGATTACTTACAGACTGCTGTCATATAGATGGAATATTGCTGAGGGCTGTGTTACACAAAAGTTGAAATTCCAGGATCCAATCCAAATGTTTTGATATATATATCCAAATCCAGCCTGTCCATCCCAAACAGGGGGCGGTCGGGTAGCCTAGTGGTTAAAGCATTCGCTCATCACGTCGAAAACCCGGGTTTGATTCCCGACATTGGTACAATGTGTGAAGCCAATTTCTGGTGTCCCCTGCCGTGATATTGCTGGAATATTGCTAAAAGCTGCGCAAAACCATACTCACTCACTCACTCACCCATCCATCCCAAACAGCATGTCAGATCACACATGATATACATTGTCATGAAGTGAAATAAAAACAACATAATTCTTGCTACATAATTGAACATCTTAACTAACAACATATTCATTAATGAATACATGCAGTATCCATCAGTAGCAATCTGTCAGCAAGGGTCATCATAGTCACGCGGGTGTTTACAAGTTTATTTTAAGTCAGTCTCACTGATTGTTCCTACAACAGTCGCCTGTCCAGTTAAATGATCAAATTATCTATGTAAAGTCACCCTGGGGACCTTGTCTCGTCACTGGGAATTTCTGTTTAACTGAACCTAGTTATCAGGAATCAAATGATGATAAATAAAGAATGATTTGGTCAGAACCAAACAAAATATGTCTGCTACTTCTTTTTACTTACTAACATTTGATTTTCTTTTTAATGTAATATCGAATAACAGGGAACATTTCATTCATCTTAGAAAACAAAGCACACTTGTGATGAAAAACCAGCTTTCTGGGGCACTTGTTCCCATCTTCATCTGCAACATTTGTTTTTCCACTTAATTTCCTGGGTGCTTGGCTCCAGTGAAGTGATAGGAAATTCAAGCTCCCCAATACCAAACTTACACGATCACTTGCAAGTCTAAGGCACCATCGCCTGACAGCGTCACATAGCATTTGATTTTAATTTGAAAGAAAGAGGTATATGCCAGAAAAAAACATCTGCAATCAAGAGCAAAACAATGTAAATAATGGGCATGTGATAAAAAAAGGCGATCAGTTTCGCCCGTGAGTATTCCTGAACAATTCTCATCAGTCTTGTATGCTGTTTATATTCTTTCTAAGTGCCCAGTGGAGTGATCAAGGAAACAGCTGACCTTTTAGTCCTTGAAGTTCAACAAACCAAATACAGTAGAAAGGGTAGTTGAACAGAGAAACATCCTTTAGAAAAAGCAGCCACTTTCATTTAGGAGCATTCTCTCAGAAGAGGGGAAATCACTGTGCAGTGATGCTTTATGAGTGAGAGTGAGTTTTTACGCCGCTATTAGCAATATTCCAGCGATATCACGGCGGGGGACACCAGAAATGGGCTTCACACATTGTACCCATGTCGGGAATCGAACCCGGGTCTTCGGCATGGTGAGTGAACGCTTTAATCTCTTGGCTACCCGACTGCCCCTGATGATTTATGAAAGACATGAACATTTAAAGGCATAACAGGAGCCTGTCTTTATAAATACAGTGTCATACTCATCACACTGTGCCATGACTTTCTCATCATCATGATCTGTCCTGTCATGAGTTTATGATTCTTCAAAAGTGTAGATTAATCTGATTTTGTTACATGCTTTTCCTGATCCATGAGCAAGGAGTGGGAGACAAAATAGAAACATGTTGATTCAAGTTTGATTTCCTGAAATGAATTTAGACATAATGCTTTAAATAAAAGTAAGAATACTTTTAATATTAAAGTTTTGTTTTACCTCAAGGCAGTCCTATCTTAAAGCAAGAAACATGGATTTGGAATCAGCTTATTCATAAACAAAAATCGTCAAAGCCAGAGAATAACTGATTATCAGCCGGAAGAGCTTTCATAGGAAAGGGCCAAATATTTATATATATCAAATAATCACAGTGCTTGTATAACAAACAGTCAGTCCTCTGTATCATTACTGTCACGACGAAACAGTCTGTGAGTCAGGTCTCATATATATACATAACAATTTTGTATCAACCACGCAACATATCA